CCTTTATGTTTATAAAAATTTTTTTAAAAATTAAATTTTAAAAAAACATAAAAAATTGATAAACCCTTAGCAAGACCCATGAGAGCGAGAGAACCAAATAAACAGAATTACTAATGAAAGAGGAGAAATAACAACCAACACCATAGAAATACAAACAATTCTAAAAGAATATTATGAAAGCCTATATGTCAACAAATTGGGCAACTTAGGAGAAACAGATAAATTCCAAGAAACATATATTCTACCAAAACTAGGTTAGGGAAAAATAGAAAATCTGAACAGACCAGGTACTGGTAAGGAGATTGAATCAGTAACCAAAAAACTCCCAAAAAATAAAAGTCCAGGACCAGACGGCTTTACAGAAAAACTCTACTAAACATTTTAATTTTTTTAATTTTTATTTTTTTTCTACTAAACATTTGAAAAAGAGTTAATATTGATTCTTCCCAAACTAGTCCAAAAAATAGAAGAGGAAGGAAAACTTCTAGATCCTTTTTATGAGGCCAATATCACCCTGATACCAAAATGACATAAAGATACCACAAAAAAAAAAAAAAAAACCTAAAAGAGAGAGAGAGAGAATTACAGGCCAGTATCTCTCATGACTATAGATGCAAAAATCCTCAACAAAATGTTAGAAAACTGAATCCAATAAAATATATTTAAAAAATCATGTACCAAAATCAAGTGGAATTTATTCCCAGATGATAGGGTGGTTCAATATTCATAATCACGGTGATATGTCACATCAGTAAAAGAAAGGATAAAAACCATACGATATTTCAATAGATGCAGAAAAAGCATTTGACAAAGTACAACATCCATTCATAATAAAAACTTCTCTGCAAAGTAGGTCTAGAGGGAATATATGTCAAGATAATAAAGGCCTTATTTGAAAAACCCACAGCAAATATCACACCTAATGGGGAAAAACTGAGAGCTTTTCCCTTAAGATCAAGAACAAGACAAGTATGTCCACCCTCATCAGTTTTATTCAACATAGAACTGCAAGTCCTCGCCACAGCATTAAGACAACATAAAGAAATAAAAGTCATCTAAATTGGTAAGGAAGAAGTAAAACCTTCATTATTTGCAGATGACATGACACTATATATAGAAAACATTAAAGATTCCACCAAAAAGCTACTAGAACTGATAAATTTAGTAAAGCTGCAGGATATAAAATCAGTGTACAGAAACCTGCTGGATTCCTATACATTAATAATAAAGCAGCAGAAACTGAAAATAAGAAAACAATCTTATTGGAGCGCCTGGGTGGCTCAGTGGGTTAAAGACTCTGCCTTCGGTTCAGGTCATGATCCCAGGGTCCTGGGATAGAGCCCTGCATCGGGCTCACTGCTCGGCAGGGAGTCTGCTTCCTCCTCTCTCTCTGCCTGCCTCTCTGCCTACTTGTGATCTCTGTCTGTCAAATAAATAAATAAAATCTGAAAGAAAGAAAGAAAGAAAGAAAGAAAGAAAGAAAGAAAGAAAGAAAGAAAGAAAACAATCCTATTTACAATTGCACCAAGTACATTAAACATCTAGGAATAAACTTAACCAAAGAAAGACCTGAATTCTGAAAACTATAAAATATTGATGAAAGAAACTCAAGACAATGCAAAGAAATGGAAAGACATTCCATGCTCATAGACAGGAAGAGCCAAGACTGTTAAAATGTCCATACTACCCAAACCAATCTACAGGTTTAATCAATCCCTCTTAAATACCAAGAGCACTTTTCACAAAACCAAAGCAAATAATCCTAAATTTTTTAGGAACCACAAAGGACCCCAAATAGTCAAAGCAGTCTTGAAAAAGAAAAACAAAACTGGAGGTATCATGATCTAGATTTCAAGTTATATTACAAAGTGGTAGTGATTAAAATAGTATGGTACTGGCATGAAAACAGACACACAAATCAATAGAATAGAACAGAAAGCCTGGAAATAAACCCACAACTAATCTTCAACAGAGGAGGAATATATATACAATGGGAAAAGACAGTCTCTTCAACAAATGGTGATGGGGAGAACCACAGCAACAGGCAAAAGAATGAAACTGGACCACTTTATTTCATCATACACAAAAATAAACTCAAAATGCATTAAAGATCTAAATGTGAGGCCTGAAACCATAAAAATCCTTTAAGAGAGCACAGGCAGTAATCTCTCTGACACTGGCCACATCAACACAGTTCTAAATGTCTCCTGAGGCAAGAGAAATAAAAGCAAAAATAAATAATTGGGACTACACCAAAATAAAAAGCTTCTGCACAGCAAAGGAAGCAATCAACAAAACTAAAAGGCAACCTACTGAATGGGAGAAGATATTTACAAATGACATATCTGATAAAGGGTTAGTATCCAAAATATGTAAAGAACTGATACAACTCAACACACAACAAAACCAAATAACCCATTTAGAAATGGGCAAAAGACATGAAAATATATTTCTCCAAAGAAAACATACAAATGGATAACATACATGTGAAAAGCTGTTCAACATCACTTATCATCAGGGAAATGCAAATTATAACTACATGAGATATCACCTCCCACCTGTCACAATGGCTAAAACAGAAAAACACAAGAAACACCAAGTATTAGCAAAGATATGAAGAAAAAGGAAGCCCTGTGCACTGTTGGTGGGAATGCAAACTGGTACAGCCAATCTGGAAAACAGTATGGAGATGCCTCAAAATGTTAAAAATAGAACTACTGTATCCAGGAGTTATACCACTGGGTATTTACCCCCCAAATACAAAAGCACTAAGGAAAGGGATACATGCACCCTTATGTCTATTGCAGCATTATTTATAAGAGCCAAACTACAAAAGCAGCCCAAACTATGGAAGTGTCCATCAATAGATAAATAAAGAAGATGTGGTATATACACGCAATGGAATATTATTCAGCCATAAAAAAAGAACAAAATCTTGCCATTTGCAACAACATGGATAGAGCTAGACTGTATTAAGCTAAGCAACAGAAGTCAAAGAAAAACAAATGCCATATGATCTCACTCATTCCATATGTGGAATTTAAGAAACAAAACAAATGAGCAAAGGGAAAAAGAGAGACAAATCAAGAAACAGACTCCTAACTATAACAAACTGATGGTTACAGGTGGGGGGGCATGGGGGATGGGGAGTAAGGAGTATGCTTATCATAAAATAAAGTGATAAAAAATTAAAAGGCTATATAAAAAGTGTAATTATACATGTTTAAAAAAATTTTTTTAAGTTTATTGTGCTTCCATTTATGAAAGTAAATTTTGCTCCTTGTATAGGAACAAAAAACTAGAATTATACAGGACTATAATTTATAAATTTTTTAAATTAACAATAGATTATGAAATATTTACCATGTGTTTACATAGTGTTTTATTTGATCTTTACTATTTGCATTATATTTCTGGAATAAATATGACATAATTTATGTACTTAGTATTAAAAATTATTGGAAATTTAGGCTGTTTCTAATTTACAGAACTATCAATTTACAAATTTTACTGATCTCTGATAATTTCCTTGGGTTTTGTCATCTGTAAATATAATTAGCATACAATTAATGTCAATTAATGTCCTCATCTTGATTTCTTAAAATGTGAATTAATAAAGGAAGAAAAATGGACTCTTATGAAACATATGAGGGAATGCTTTCCAGGTTGTATTAGTTCATGATTACTCTTACTTGGACACAGGTCTGTTGGTACCTAATTACATCATCTTCCAACCTATATTTCTCCACCTTTCCACAGGTATATAAGAGACTTTATTACATATTATTCTAATATCCAGCTGCACCATTCTTTTTTTTTTTTTTTTAAAGATTTTATTTATTTATTTGTCAGAGAGAGAGAGAGAGCGAGAGTGAGCACAAGCAGATAGAGTGGCAGGCAGAGGCAGAGGGAGAAGCAGGCTCCCTGCTGAACAAGGAGCCCGATGTGGGACTCGATCCCAGGATGCTGGGATCATGACCTGAGCCGAAGGCAGCGGCTTAACCCACTGAGCCACCCAGGCGTCCCCAGCTGCACCATTCTTACAGAATCTATTTCACCTGTGTTTCTAGTACCCTATCATAAAAGCATAAGGAGGCATCGATTGTTCCAAGGGAATTCACACAGGTTTTCTGTTCTAAAGGCTATTAGAGAGAGATGAGGCAAACACAGGTGCTCCAAGGAAATCAAAGTGGAAGCACTGCTGCCGCAGATAGGGCAGAGCTGAGAAGCAGCTGATGTGCTGAGAAATAAAGAATCAGAACAAGGATAGTTCATTACAAGACCCCAGGATTATATCATCATATACTGCTAACATGATATATACTCTCAGCTTAAGCCATTGAGAATAACCTGAAGGAGAAAAGGCCAAAGTAAAATTGACATATTTACGTCATGGTACAATATACTTTTGGAATATAATATTTTTTATGTTAGTGATTGATTGGTTTAAATGTTAGCCTAACAGCGCCCATCATTATGGTCGTGTGTCTGTAATCAGGAAGCAGTGGTGAAGAACAGGGGCATCTCCTTGAGTTCCTTAGTCAGGTATACATTGGTATAAACCACAAGTCAGCAGTTTTTCTGTAAAGAGCCAGTAAATATTTAATAAATATTTAATCTTATGGGTCATATGGTCTCTGTTGCAGCTATTCAACTCTACCGTTGTGGCATAATAGCAACATAGACAATATGTAAATGAATGGACATGGCTGTATCCAGCAGAACTTTACTTATAAAACAGGCGGTGGGCTGGATTTGGTCTATAGTTTGTTGACCACTAGTGTAAACACCAAGAGGTAAATATCTAGCATAAATATCTAGGTAAATATCAATGTTGCTTGAATATGTCCTAAAATCCCAAATGTGCATGGAATATTGTGTAGATGAATGCAATTTTACTTTCCTATGATATCACAGCAATCACATTTTCATATTCAATGAGCTCAATATACAGTTGAACCAATTTTTCTAGTTATCATCAAAACTTGAGGATCACTTACCTGTGCATAATCACCAAAAGGTTGAGAATAAGAAATGCACTTTTCCAATGTGTGTTGTGATTCATTTCCCTGAGAGATTGCATCCAGAATATTGCTGGCAATTCCAGTCTTCTGCAGAGCGGTTTTACTTGCAGGGGCTAAAGTCAAATTTCAATATTTTTAGCTAAAAGTTGTTTTGTTATAAATTATAAACAAAGTACAAAACTCATTAATTCAACATGTACCCAAACAACACAGATTTTTATTTGCCTGCATATAGCTATAGTTCTTATCCCCCAGGGGGAGGATATACACTATATGATGTTGTCTTGTTCATTTAAAGCAACTGAACGTGGAAGTTTGCCCAATGGATAAATAATTTTGATGGAAACATTTTTAAGATACATGTCTAATCTCTAAAAGAAGGCAAACAAAATGTAAACTAATCTTTTTTATTAATGCAATAGTTGTAACCATCAATTTTAGACCAGGTAAAAAATGCAGTGGGTATAGGAGAAGCACATTAAATTTTTTTTCTGGCTCTTTTAAAAAATTACAAATTAATGTCGAGGTACCAGAGGATACTTTATAAAATACAGAGCATATATATTATTTCATTTCTTTTAACTCTATTCTTTTTTCCCCAGAGGTAACAGTTTAGAATTTTCCCAGATTTACTGAATGCATTTACACATTAAATATGTACACGTAAGAATATATAGTTTAAAAAAAAAAAGAATACATAGTTTTAAACAAACATAAATGGAATCATTTTAGGCACATGTTGGCTTTTTCTACTTAATTTGCTTTAGAGAGAATTTCATATTAGTACATGTAGCTCTCCCTCAACTATAACAAAAAGTTGTATTGTGTTCCATTTTATGATAAACTATTTTTTTTTTAACCATTCCCCTATTGAGGAATATTAAGGCACTTTTCAGTTACACTATTGACAACCAACATTGTAGTGAATATCCTAGTGCCTAGAACACAACACATTTGTGATTTTCTCTTAAAACTATATTTAATAATCTACCTTAATTGAAGGCCTGAGAAAGTCTTCCAAAAAAGTAAATAAGAGTTCAACTTCTGCTTATTATCATTAGCTCACAGTTTTGGGGGGATTGTTTGCAAATATTCTGGATATATGAGATATGTAGAGGTTTAAATCTCTATTTTAGAAATAGATTTAGAATACAAATGATTCTATATGTATTGTACAGCATTATAGTATTGCCAATAATTCCCTTGCCAGATTTTCTATTATGATTTAATAATTCAATAAATTGATTATATTCTTAATAAGATATTACAAAAGATGTTTCCTTAAATAGTTAGAATACATTTTAAGTGTCTTAATTTTAGTTATTCTTTAATTTAAAGATGAGGTCATAATTTAGGCTTTCATGGCCAATAAGCATTATTTGCTTCCATTTAATTAGAGTAAGACTGATTATGGAAAGTATTTAATAAAACTCCAAAATACTAATACTGAGCTCTTACTTACATGATAAGCACACACTGGGCAACACACTTGCCAGGTTCAGGTATGGATTCTTACTGAGCCGTATTTCTTTTGGTGGTTCTCCCAATAGTGAAGTCTGATTCTTAGAGGCCACCTATTTATCAAAAATAAAACAGTAGGTGTTTAATCAGAGGTACAGGAAAATATAAATGCAGAAAAAGTAGAGAAATACTTACTCTTCAGTAAATCTAGTCTAGTGTAGTAAAAATTTGTGGAACCCAATGTTTGAACATATGAAGTTATGGAGTATTTCTGGATAGTGATTAAAATGATCACACTCCACTTATTTTTTCAATTAGTTTTTTTTTAAACTACCCTAGAACTTTAGAACTGAAAGAGAATTAAAGGCATTCTTGTAAATTCTTTTCACTGGAACTAGGAGAGAATTACTTCACAAGAAAAAGCAAATCCCATACCTTATTTCCAGAAATACTGTTATCTACATTTTCCTACTAGGATTTTTATAGTGTATGGCTACAGGCAAATGATAAAGGAAAGCTTACTGATTTCTGGTTCTAAAAGTAATACCAAACAAAATAAGTGGATTTAATAAAATCCAAATCCACATTTAGAAGATAACCCTAGAAATTCACATTTCTTGAAAATATATCAGTAAATTTTATATAATTAAGTGTAAGGGTTCTAGCATTTCTTTAACAGAAGAAAAGGGCTTATTCTTCAGATCATTTTGTTTTGTACTGATGGAATTTTTTACTTTTCAACTCTCTGTTAGTAAAAAAATTTTTTTTAAATAAAACAATGTAGGTTACTATAATTAAAGCTAGAATCTAAGTTTTCATTTCTAGTTAATTTTTGTTTTGTTCCCTGAACAGAATGAAATATAATATCAAGTGCTTATTTCTATATTTGAGAAACAACTCAATAAACAACTCCTTTATTTCTTCCTTATCTGGTCAATATTATTGTATTTGGATTGAGAAATCTGTCCTGTACATCTTCATAAGACTCAAAGAAGTCCAGATTTGCTTGTGATAGGTAAATCACAGATAGAGATGTATTTATTCAAAGATGCTTACTGAATGTTTACCATGCTCCAGGCGCTGTGGTAAGCATCGATAATACTAAAATGAGTAGGACAAGAATACTACCGTTAAGAAATTCACAATTAAGGGGTGCCTGGGTGGCTCAGTGGGTTAAAGCCTCTGCCTTCAGCTCAGGTCATGATCCCAGGGTCCTGGGATCAAGTTCCTCATCGGGCTCTCTGCTCAGCAGGGAGCCTGCTTCCCCTCTCTTTCTGCCTGCCTCTCTGCCTACTTATGATCTCTGTCTGTCAAATAAATAAATACAATCTTTAAAAAAAAAAAAAATTCCCAGTTAAGTAGCTATAATAGCTCAAAAGAAGTCTAAGATGGAAACATAAAATTCTAGGTAGGAGCTAACACCATTACATATTTGCCAAAGGAAAATGTATAGCATGATGAAAGACAGTGCCCTAGAGAGAATTCAAAGACTGAGAAAATGTAGCCAGGAAGGTACTCTAAGATTTTGTCTCTAAAGTACTTAAATTGCCAAGATAATCAGATTCTATCCTATCAGGGTTCTCAACTCTAGCTATGAAAGAAAATAACTTATAAAAAAAAAATACAATGTATCAACAACAAAAAAAGCCCTGGACCAAATGGCTTCACTGGGTAATTCAATGAAATATTTATTTTTAAATTTAAAATCAATTAACTAACATAGTGTATTATTAGTTTCAAAGATAGAGTTTAATGATTCATCAGTTGCATACAACGCCCAGTGCTCATTCCATCAAGTGGCCTCCTTAATGACCATCACACATTTACCCCATCACTCCCCCCACCCCACCACCACTTTCTCTCCAGCAACACTGTTTCCTGGAGTTGAGTCTTTTATGGTTTGTCTTCTTCTCTGATTTTTTCTTATTTTATTTTTCCTTCGCTTCCTCTATATTCATCTGCTTTGTCTCTTAAATTCCACATATGAGTGAAATCATATATTTGTCTTTCTCTGATTGACTTATTTCACTTAGCATAACACCCTCTAGTTCCATCCATGTCGTTGCAAATGTTGAGATTTCATTCTTTTTGATGGCTCAGTAGCATTCTACTGCCTATGCACGTGTGTACACATACACACAGAGACACACACACACACACCATTGCTTCTTTATCCATTCATCTGTTGATGGACATCTGGGCTATTTCCATATTTTGGCTATTATGGACATTGCTGCTATAAACATTGGGGTGCATGTGCCCCTTCTAATCACTATTCAATAAAACATTTAAAGAGGAATTAATGCCAATTCTTTTCAAACTCTTCCACAAAACTGAAGGAGAATACTTTCAGCATTGTTCTAGTACCAAAGCCAGAGACACACCACAAAAAAGAAAGAGGACCACAGATAAATATCCCTTATAAATATTGGTGCCAAAACCATCGACAAAACACTAGCAAACCAAAATGAGTAGATTATTAAAGGGATTATACATCATAACCCACTGGGATTTACTCCTAAAACGCAAGGACGATTCAATGTACAAAAGTCATTCAACATAATACGCTATATTAACAGAATGGAGAAAAAAACAGTCACCTCAACTGATGCAGAAAAAGCATTTGACAAAATTTAACATGCTTTCACGATTAAAATTCAATGCACTTAGGGAACCTGGGTGGCTCAGTCAGTTAAACATCTGCCTTCAGCTCAGATCATGATCTCAGGCTCCTGGGATTGAGCCCCGCATTGCACTCCATGCTCAGCAAGGAGCGTGCTTCTCCCTCTTTCTCTGCTGCTCCCCCTGCTTGTGTGCTCTCTCTCATTCAAATAAACAAATAAAGTCTTTAAAAAACAAAATAAAATGAAACACACTCAGCAAAGTTAGCACAGAAGGAAGCTACCTTAATAAAACAGAAGTTATATATGAAGTCAACATCATACTCAATAGTGAAAGACTGAAATCTTCCCCTCTAACATCAAGAACGAGACAAAGCTGTCTGCTTTCACTACTTCTGTTCAACATAATATTGGATGTTTTAGTCAGAGCAAATAAGTAGGAAAAAGAAATAAAAGACATCCAAACCAGAGTGGAAGAAGTAAAGTGATTTCCGCTTGCGAATGCATGAAAACCCTAAATGCTACACATACACAAACTGTTAGACTAAATGAATTCAGCAAAGTTGCAGGATATAAATCAACATACAAAAATTAGTTGCATTTCTATACACTAACAATGAACAATCCAAAAAGAAAAATAAGAAAGCAATTCCATTTACAACAGAATCAAAAAGGATAAAATATTTAAGAATTAACTGAACAAAAAAAAGGAGTGGGCGCCTGGGTGGCTCAGTTAGTTAGGCGACTGCGTTCGGCCCAGGTCATGATCCTGGAGTCCTGGGATCGAGTCCCACATCAGGCTCCCTGCTTGACAGGGAGTCTGCTTCTCCCTCTGACCCTCCCCCATCTCATGCTCTCTCTCTCATTCTCTCTCTCTAAGTAAATAAATAAATAAATAAAATCTTTAAAAAAAAAAAAAAAAAAGGAGTGACTGAACCAAAGAAGAAAAATACTTACTCACTAAAAACTGCACAACATGGCTGAAAGTGATATTTAAGCAGAATCTCAATAAAGTGAGGGATTAGCCATGAAAATATCTAAGACTGCACTGTCCACCATGGTAGCTACTAGCTACACATGACTACTGAGCCTAAGAAATAGCAGACAGTTTAAACTGAGATGTATGTGGAATGTAAAATATATACTAAATTTCAAAGAGTTAGTACCAAAGAATGTAAAATATCTTAAAAGTTCAGTATATATATCCATTTTGAACTAATATTTTGTATATGCTATATTAAATATTAAAAATGTTTAAAAAAAAATGGGGGCACCTGGGTGGCTCAGTTGCTTGAGCATCCAATTCTTGGTTTCAGCTCAGGTCATGATCTTGGGGTCCTGAGATCAAGCCCTGTGTGGAGCTCTGTACTCAGTGTAGACTCTGTTTGAGATTCTCTCTCTCCCTCTGCCCCTTTCCCAGCTCTCTAAAATAAATCTTTAAAAACATTTTTTTAAAACATTGCTGGATTAAAAGACATAAATAAAAGGAAAGTTAACCCATGTTCATGGATTAGAAGACATATTGTTAAAATGTCAGTATTAACCAGAGTGATGTAGGGATTCAGTATAGTCCCTATCAAAATTCCAACTTTTTCTGCAGAAAAAGAAAAATCCACCCTAAAATACATGTGGAATTTCAAGGGACCCCAAATAGTCAAAACAATGTTGAAAAAGGTGAAAAATAGGAACAAGAATGGAAGGCTCATACTTTGTGATTTCAAACTTACTATAAAGCTACAGTGACCTCAACAGTGTAATACTGGCATAAAGACAGACATACAGACAAATGGAATAGAATAGAAAACCCAGAAGTCAGTCCCTGCATATGTGCTTAAATGACTTTTGTCAAAAGTGTCAAGATTATTCAATGGGGAAAGGACAGTATTTTCAACAAAAATGCTGGCAAATCTGGATATCATATGTGAAAGGATAAGCTGGATTCTCACCTTATACCACATACAAAAATTAACTCAAAGGTCAAAGACCTAAATGCAAGAGCTAAAATTATAAAACTTAAAAACTTAGGTAGAATGCTTCATGATACTGAATTTGTCAATAGTTTTTTGGGTCTGACACCAAAAGCAGAAGCAGAAAGAGAAAAAGAGAGACAGAGAGAAAGAAAGAAAAAAAAAAGTAGATCATATATAGATCTAAATATAGATCAAAAACAAGTCTGAACAAATATAAGAATATTGAAATCATATCAAGTATTCCTGTGACCACAATGGTATGAAACTAGAAATGAATCACAGGAGGGAAACTGGAGAATTCAGAGATACATAGAAATTAAACAACATACTCCTGAACAACTGACAGGTTGAAGAAATCAAAAGAGAAGTCAAAATTATCTTGAGACTAATGAAAATGGAAATATAGCATATCAAAACTTATGGAATATAGCAAAAAAGCAGTCCTAAGAGGGACTTATAGCAATGCCTACACAAAAAGAAAAAAAAAAAAGACCTCAGACAACATTACACATCAAGGAACTAGAAAAAGAAAAACAAACTAAGCCCCCAATTAGCAGAAAGGGTTAATAATAAAGATTAGAACAGAAATAAAAGAGACTAGAAAAATCCATGAAACTAAGTGTTAGGGTTCTGAAGAGATAAACAAAACAGAGAAACCTTTAACTAGACTAACCAAGAGAACAAGAGAGGATACAAATAGTTACAAATGAAAGAGGAGACATTAAAACTGATACCACAGAAATATGAAGGATCGTAAGAGACTATTACCAAGAAATACATGCCAACAAATTGGATAACCCAGAAAAAAAAGGATAAATTCCCAGAAACTTACAACCTCAAAGAACAATCATAAAGAAATAGAAAATCTTATCAGACCAATAGTGATATAAGAAGTAATAAAAAACCTCCCAAGAATGAAAATATCAGGACCAGATGGCTACACTGGTGAATTCTACCAGACATTTATTTGAAGAAAAATTAATGCCCAACAAAGCCAGATAAGAACTCTGCAAGAAAATAAAACTACAGGCCAATATCCCTGATATTGGGATATCAGGCAAAAGTCCTCAACAAAATATTAGCAATCCAAATTACAACAATACATTGACTGTACACAACTGTATACAATGATACATAGACTGTACGCCATGATCAAATGAGATAACTCAGAAATAAACACACATACATATAGTCAACGAACCTTTGACAAGCGAGTCAAGAATTTCCTATGGAAAAGGACAGTTTCTCTAATAAGCGGTGTTGGGAAAACTGGATGTCCACACACTAAAGAATGAAATTGGACCAGGATCTTAAACCATACATAAGAATTCACTCAAACTGGATTAGACTTAAAGATAAGATCTGAAGCCATAAAACCCCTAGAAGAAAATAAAAGGGAAAATTTCCTTGACATTAGTCTTGGCAATAATTTTTTGGACATGACACCAAAAGTACAGACAACAAAAGCAAAAATAAACAAGTGGGACTACATCAAACTAAAAAACTTCTGTACAGCAAAGGAAACCATCAACAAAATAAAAAGACAATCTATTGAATGGGAGAAAACTGATACAGCCATTGAGGGAAAACAGTACAGAAGTTCCTCAAATAATAAAAAATAGAATTACCATGTGATTCAGTAATCCCATCTCTGGGTATATATTCACAGGAAACGAAATCCCTATCTCAAAGGGATAGTGCACTCCCATGTTCACTGCAGCACTATTCCCAATAGCCAAGACACGAAAACATCAGTGCTCTTTGATGGATGAATAAAGAAAATGTGTGTATATATTCAGCCTTTAATAAGAAGGAAATCTTGCTATTTGTGATAACATGGATGGACCTTGAGGGCATTATGTTAAGTGAAAAAAGTCAAATAGAGGGGCACCTGGGTGGCTCAGTGGGTTAAAGCCAGCCTCTGCCTTCCACTCAGGTCATGATCCCAGGGTCCTGGAACAGAGCCCTGCATCTGGCTTTCTGCTCAGCAGGGAGCCCTCACCCTCTCTCTGCCTACCTCTCTGCCTACTTGTGATCTCTGTCAAATAAATAAAATAAAAAATCTTAAAAAAAAAAAAAGTCAAATAGAGAAAAACAAACACCATATGATCTCCCTTATATGTAGAATATAAAAAAGAAAGCAGCAGCAGCTCAGATACAAAAAACAGATCGTTGGTGTCAGAGGCAGTGTGGGCGGAATGGGTGAAAAAAGTCAAAAGGTACAAACTGCCAGTTATGAAATAAATAGATCATGGGGATGTAATGTACAGCATGGCAACGATAGTTAATATTACCATGTTTTATATTTGAAAGTTGCTAAGAGAGTAGATCTTAAAAGTTCTCACAAGAAAAAAAATTATAACAATGTATGGTAATAGATGTTAACTAGACTTTTTGTGATGACCATTTTGTAATACATGCAAATGTCAAATCATTGTTTTATACCTGAAACTAATATGCTGTATGTCAATTATACCTTAATAAAAAAAAATTTCTTAAAAATGCAGGTCTAAAAACCTAAAGCCACATTAAACCAATTATGTCTAGCAAAGTCAAAAATCTTGTTACATTCTTGGAAAACCTACTTGAACTGATTCAAACCCCTACTGTCAGAAAGACACTTCTACAACAGTCTGTACCAGTGCTCACTGGGGTCTGCTTAACTATGTTCAACTTTTTCTTTGTTTGAAAGCTTTAGCCGCTCTTTGTTATATTAAGCCTAAATTCGCTTTATTGTATGTTGTACTTATTGGACTAGGTCTGCCTACTGACGAAACACAAAATGCCATGTGACTAGTCTGAGGGTTTGTTTCTTTAATGTATATACAGCTTGTCCTCCCTTTCTAAGTTACATGTAACCATTTCCCTCAATTCTCTCCCCAGAACCTGTTTTCCAGGCCCTGGGCCACTTTGGCTGTTTTCTTCCTGATAGACTCTGCCCATTATGTGAATCACCTCAAATCAAGCTTTTCTGAAGATCTGGTGCTCTCTGTCCAAAAAGATACAGCATATTCATATATGAGTTCTATTTGTTTAGTTTTCAATAACCCAGGAAATTAATACTGCAGGTAAATTTTAAAAATTTATTCTAGAAGGATTCCCTTAGCTTTCTCAATGAACAGTTGCAGAACCTTCTACCCATACTTGCTGCTATGACTCCTTGACAGCAAAAACTCCTCCAAATTCAGTATTATTATTTTGACATTTGAAAATGGCCAACTAAATGAATTTTTTGTCCTCACATGCTGTTTATAACCTGAGTTTTATACTACTTACATGCTAAAGGGTGTTTCAGGGTGTGAGTAAAAAATGTACTTTATTCTACCTGTTAGTTATAACATTTACTAATGTCACTGGCCTAAGAATCAGTAAAATAACTGGGTAGAAACTTACAGAATTAAAACAGAGGTTAGATTCTTTTGTGCAGACCAGAGTTTAATAAATAACTTTGACATTTTTCAGATAAAAGAAAATTGGTCTTGCCTTCAAATATTCCAATATTACCTTAATTAGCTATAGAGTATACATTTAAAGTAGAAAACATATTTTGAAGAGCATTAACTTAGAAAGCCTCATAAATAATATAAAATTGGATAAGTATTAATGACACTCTTAAGCTTTTTCCAAACTATAAAATTTTGAACTCAGTTTATATTTCATTTCTAAAATATCAAGCATTTTTGAGTATCTTGAAAGAATATACATACATATATATATTCCTGAATAGTATCTACACACAGGTAGTATACACGTGTGTGTGTGTGTGTGTGCGTGCGTGCATGCATGGGCATGCACATAGTTTTCTCACCCCTGAGCTTATCTCCGTGCCTCTTGGCTGACTTTGCTGTGGCTTATGGTGTCCCGTCAGCAAGCCTCCAGCAGTAAGGTTTGGAAAGCTCTGAAGATAAGCCTGTGACCCTGAGAAACTTCCTTCTGCCTTCCCTGCCGAGGCTGGCTGTTTCTCCTGAGTATTCCCATGTCCTGGCCCAGCTTGTCCAGCAACGTGCTGATTTGGAAAGAATGGTAATATGCCCATTCCAGCTGTTATCGTTGTTGGAGTTGGAATCAGATTAGATGCTGTAGGGAATCACAAATGCAAGAAGCTTTTGGTTAGACAAGAGTTATTCCCAACAGTCTGATTTTGTTAACTTATGGGGGAAATGTGGAGAAGCCTATTCTGTATCAGAGAACAGTTACATTCAGAAGACAAAGTTAGTGGTTGTAAAGCAGCAGGTTCCTACACGGAAAAACAAAAACCTCTAACAGCAATCGTGCTTTTCTTATTTTCAACAATTTCTGGGATAATATCAAGGATATTTTTTAATTCCAAATTTTAATTGTATATTTTAGACCTTGAGAGAAAATGTATTTTTTGGCACTTGAAGTTGTATCAGGTGCCTTCTTTTTTATGCTCAATCACTGAAAATTGCCTGCTTCCATATTTGAAGGGAATAATTAAATAAATTTTCAGTTAAAAAAAATTCTGACACTTAAAAATCTATTAATACATTTAATCAGCTTACTCGCACCAGTTCATAATAGCTGACTGTGCGTATCTTTTCCCAGCTCCTGAATTCAGTGGGCAACTGGCTATGAGTTGTAGTGCTCACACAAAGAACTCCAAAGATGCTGTAAAAATCAAGACTCTTCTTTTTAAACCTAGAAAGCTGGTTTTTAAACATCAGCACACCACTGGTTTAAAAAACATCAACGTTTGTGAATAGATAGGCACCAAATTTAACACATGAAAGTTTTACATTTTTATTTACTGGAAATAACAAAAAATTCTGGAAGAAATTAAAGTTTTAATAGGAAAAGTCTGACCCATTCTACTTTTTAAAATCTCTAGTTCAAAATCGAGAAAAGAGCTAATTTTGATAATTACTTTAAGTCAAATTTATATTTTATAAATTCACTATGCAAATTTCTTTAATTATTTCTAGTACTTAATATTTAGAGGTGGTTACTTAAGTTCTTTTAGCAATGTATTTATTTGGACACTGATTTTTTCAATGTTCTTAAAGGAGTGCATGCTAAGGCAACTAGCCTATTATTTAATCCAACACAAATAATAAACATGGGCATAAGCTTTTGGTGATACAAAATTTAACTTTTAGAACAGGCCTCATTGTACCAAAAAATTTCTACGCCTGTCTGTATCCTATTTCAGTTTTCGCACAGTCAATTCCAACAGTCAGAACTGACGGACTCATTTAATTGTTTGACTCATTGCTTTTATGTCGAGGTTAAATATGTTACTCATATTCAACTGACATTATTATTATTACTGGTGGTAATAATAATAACATTAATATTAATATTATAAATAATATTTAATATTAAAGTAATAATATGCTTTTCACAGCATAATTGCCAAACAAATTTCAATTACACTTCAAATGAAAGTGCCTTTCAAAGTCACATTCAAATAAGAAATCTTGTTAAAATATACCACATGCTCTTGTTTTTCTAAAAAATAATTTTGTTTAAATTCGTCTTTTCAGAAGCCCAAAGTACACATGTCATTATTTCCTTTTTCTAAGTTTGGAGACCACATTCATAAAACTATTATAGGCAAGTAAACCATCAAAGCTTACATCAGAATACCACATATTTCCTTGAAAGCTTAGGGCTTTTTATTCAGGCAAAAATTAAATGGATATCTCTGTCATATGTTGTCAGCCCAGCAGGTAGCATGTCAGTCTCACAGGGATCTAGGTCTTTGCCTCATGCTGCTGTGAACCTTCATCAAATATTAAAGCATATCCAACAGGGAAAATGAGATCTTGGCATGGAAGCAAGTCCATCAATAACTTATCAATAGTTCTCTAATATTAAAAATAGAAAAGCCACGAGGGCTCTTAAAATTTTAAATGACTAAAACTCAACTTTGACCTTTCTGCAAATAAAAACAGGATATAGGTAAACCACCCTTAAGTCTCAAATCTGTTTACGGACTTCTCAGTAAATGCGTATCATTTACTTTTATGTGCTTCTCCATGATGACCCAACTCTGTTTTCAAAGGAAGTGCTGACCCAATCCCTACTGCGGTTTGAAGTACCACGGCCGGGGGATCTCCAAGTAAGCCGGGTTTCTGCAAGACAAGAAAAGAGAGTGAGACTTCTGCCCGGGGCCGCAGGGTACTCTCTCATGAAAAGGCTACACATGTGAAAAGTCATCAACAATAGGGCCTGAATCTAGAAAGGGAATGAATTCGAAAATAAAAAAAATTAACTCCAGACTTACGTTATTAGTAGGAATATTCTCAAACTTCAGTAACTGTTGCTGTGCCAGGGGTACATGAGAAAGATTCTGAAGGAATAAACTGGAAGTATTACCCAGAACGGTGCTCTGTGAAAACGAGAAAGCATTGTTAGTTCAACTTGGGAGAGCTACTTGTCCTAGAACCCAGTCCACTTTAAAGTGCAGCTCTCCAGCTGATCTGAGCAAAAGCAAGAGCATCTTAATATTCCATTTTCCCACTAGAGGCAATGCTACTTAATTCTTTTAATAATACACAAGATGTGACCGTGGAGTCACGAAACTAACTCCACATCCTCTCCCTTTTTTGCCTTCATCCTTCCTCCTCCTCTCACCCCTTTTTGGCTTTCAGGTCAGGGTCATTTCATCATTTCTTTCTTCACTTAATCATCCAACAAATATTTGTTGAGCACTTTCTCCGTGCCCAGCACTGTGCCACGAAGTAAGAAATGCACAATGCGACCTGCCCTCACGGATCTTAGAGGCTCCTGGGGAAGGGAGACATTCATTAATTATAAACACATGGAATTACACATGGTGATGAGCAGAGCGAGGAAACACACGGGAGCTAGGAGAAGAGTTGGGGACTTAGTTGGATGTGGTAAATTCAAGGAAGGTGTCCCTGAGGAACTAACTCTCCCACAGAGATCTGAAGGCTGTGGGGAAGTAACCAGGGAAGTCTGGGGGACTCAGAGGGTGTTGGGGTGGGGAGCATTCCTGGCTGAAGGAACAGCAGGGGAGCAAAGACCTGAGGAGAAGAGAGCAAGGTCCTCTGAAGACCTAAAGCTACCCGACCCCCACCCCTGGCACTGGGACAGTGACACCCGATGAGCAGGAGAGGTGGCGACCCAGCTGGCTTAGGCCTTCCGGGCGAAATTAAACATTCTAGTCTTAATTCTAAAATAAAGAGAATTATTTATTCTCTGATGATATTGACGATATCAATACTCTGAACTCCCCTCCCATGTCACACTCCACATCTTATTGTAATTCACATTTCTTTTCTGTATGTGTTGAATTTCTCTAAGAACAAGGACTTGGAATGGTTTTGTTCTGTGCTATGGCATCAGTGACCGGCAGAGTGTCCAGTAGAGGTCAGAGTCCCAATAAAATCTGGGGAGTAATGGGATGAAAAAAGACCCTACAATGTACAAGGTCCTATGTTAGAGTCGTCGTCTTCTTTTTTTTTTTTTTTTAGGTGTACGGATACAATGCATGTTAATGTATTCTTTCCCAAGTTACTATTATTTAAGAAAATAAGCAAATTCTTACATAAACTTTCACGTATGTAAAGTTCATATTTTATCTATTTTTTTTCCCCATCCTCAAATCTATGTTAGATTCTAATGAAAACTAAATAAAAGATAAACCTGTGCCTTAAAAAGTTGCGTTTAGGACTTTGATGCTCATTCACTCCACCGCCACCAAACCTCCATTAGGGATTCGGCTGCACTTGTAATCAGGCTCCCACACAGACACAGCCTTCAGCAGTACCTAACTGTCATGAGTACGACATTTGTATATACAAATGCGTCCTAAAATACGAATCTGAAAAAGGTTAGAGAATTTATTTTTTATTCTTACATGAATTATTTGTATATAGATTAAATTTTAAGAATTAAGAGTTTACGTTCACTTAATTTTTTTTTTCTTTCTGTAATACTTGGAGTTAAGACCCCAGAAGTCTTGTTTTTAACCACTTATTTCTACAAAAATATACCACAAAACACACCTCCTTCCCTTAATCCCCTATAATCAATGCCCAGAAATCAATGCCTAAAAATCAATAGATAGAACTACACTGCTTTGACCAGCTTAATTTGATCTCAGGTACTCAGCATGTTTTCAGGTAGCTATAGTTACTACTAAGGATTTGTTTAAAAAACAAAATACCTGTTTAACTTCAGGAGAATTTTAAACTTTGGGAACAAACAAATGAGTCACTCCGAGTTGCAGTACTCAATGCTATTTATATACCTGATGTGCTTTATTCAAATGCAAAAACGCGGAGGAGATGGATGGGTTCATCAGATGAGGCAAGCTGTGAGGTGTTCCGAGAACTGCTTTAAGAAAATAAAAGTAAAAATTTAACTTTATGATAAGACAGAAACAAACTCCAAAAGGGGCCAATAGCATTTTTTTTAAACTTAACAAATTCATCCAAAGTTCAATGATATACTGACCTTGTCATTGCACAAAAACTGGCGAGGTCGCTTCCTTGTGACTCAAACCTAGAATTTTATTTAAAATTCCAACACCTTCTATCATCATAATAAAACACCAAACCTAGCCTTTCTTTTCTCTAGTGCTTAGAGCAACAAAACTAATTCCATCTTTTAGTGAGTATAATTCTAACTGAACTCATGTTATTTGCTCAGTATTTTTATTAGGTGTTTGGGTATTATTCTGGCGGGGGGGGGGGGGGGGGGGGGAAGGAAGGGCAAGATACAGACCTTTCCTTTGAAAAGCCTACAATCCATTCAAGAAGAGAATATATGCACAGAAAAAATATTTACATAATAAAAAGAAACATGAGCATCAGAGTGGATAGAAAGAATAAATGGTGACCACACTTTTTTTTAATCAGGTTTGCCTGAGCACAATACCAGAGTATGTATCAAAAGAGATGTCTTCAGAACATGGCTCCGTCATTTAAGCATCTAACTCTTGGTTTCAGCTCAGATTGTGAGCTGAAACCATATCCAGCCCTGCTCTGGTCCTCCCCACGTATGCACACTCTCTCCCTCTCTCAAATAAATCTTTTTTTAAAAGGTGGGGGGATGTTTTCAGAATAAATAGTATATAGACAAAAAGGGCCATGAGATAGAAAATATATGAAGTAATTTCTTCTAATTACTATAAATCAACTGGAAATGGTCAGGCATAGAAAGCACTTCAAAAAGCATTTAATTTCAGGTCCTCTGGCTGGCCCAGTTGGTGGAACACGTGACTCACGCAACTCTTTATCTCTGGGTTGTGAATTCAAGCCCCATGGTGGTTGTAGAGCTTACTTGTTGTTGTTGTTGTTGCTAAAGATTTTATTTATTTATTTGAGAGAGAGGGCAAGCAGGGGGAGCAGCAGAGAGACAGGGAAAAGCAGGATCCCTGCTGAGCAGGGGGTCTGAGGCAGGGCTTGATTCCAGGATCCTGGGATCATGACCTGAGCTGCAGGCAGACACCCAATCCACTAAGCCACCCAGGCACCCCTAGAGCTTACTTAAAAAAAAAATTGTGTTGTCTTATTTTAAGGAAAAAAGGAGGGAGGGGTAAAATATTAGTGCCTTTAAAAAAAAAGCATTTAATCCAACGATCAAAAATATTTGGATATTATATATGTAATATATACCATCTCTACAAGTTTATCCCATGTTTTCAAAAGTACTTTTTTCAAGTTTTACTACTTGCTAAACCAGCCTATTTCATCTTTGGAAAAGTGACCATTAGAAATTGCTTTCTTTAGAATGAGTCCATTTCATGATTGGTGGTAGGAAGATTAGGTCATTAGCACGAGTTGTTTATAAAAACAGACTGTTTATTAACAAAGAGGGATAAAGATGGCATTTCATAATGATAAAGGGGTCAATTCATCAAGAGGATACAACAGTCTTAAATGTGCTTCAAATAACAAAGCTTCAAAATATGTAAGGCAAAAATTTCTAGAACTGACGAAGTAGACAAATCCACAGTTACGGTTGGAGATTTCAACACCACCTCCTCTCTTTTTTCAGTTAGTCACTGTATTTTGTTACAAAACATTAATATTTTTTCCGTTTTTAATGAATACAATATTTCCCAGTTTAAAACCATCACCACTGAAATCAAAACACTTTGAAGATGTCTACATTCTCACATCTCACTGCCCTTATCCTTAGCTCTTGGCTAATCTCCCATGGTGCCCCAACCTCCCCTTCTCAAGAAGGCTTGAACAATGCTATCAATCAACAATATATGCAAAGGACTATAATATATAATAATATACCCTATGAATAAAAGTTTGGTTTAACATTGAAAAATCAATGTAATTCATCATGCTAGCAGACCAAACAAAAAATATATATGATCATCTCAGTTAATGGAGAAAATCAGTGTATACATTCCAGCAATTATCATGACAAAATTTCTCTGCAATATAGAAACAAAAGGCAAAGTTCCCAGCTAGAAAAAGAAAATCTGTGAAAAAAACTATAGCTGACATAATAAAAGAATGAATGCTCTCTAAGGTCAGAAACAAAGCAGAGATGTCCACTCTCACCAGTTCAATGCACAAATTATGCTGGAATTTCTGTCTATTGCAATAAGACAAGAATAAGAAGTTAAAGGCAGGGTGCCTGGGTGGCTCAGTTGGTTAAGTGACTGCCTTTGGCTCAGGTCATGATCCTGGAGTCCTGGGATTGAGTTCCGCCTAGGGCTCCCCTGCTCGGCAGGGAGTCTGCTTCTCCCTCTGACTCTCCCCCTTCTCATGATCCTTCTCTCTCTCTCTCTTTAATAAATAAATAAAATCTTTAAAAATAATAATAATTAAAAAAAAGAAGTAAGAGGCATACATATTGGAAAGGAAGAAATAAAATTGTGTTTATTTGTGGATTATATGACTGTCTACACAGAAAATCCTAAGAACAAAAGCCTACAAGAAATAATAAGCTAGGTTTGCAAGAGAGGATATACACAAAATCAATTGTACTTGTATATGCTAGCAACATGAAACTCAAAATTGAGATTTAAAAAGTAAAACTATTGGGGCACCTGGGTGGCTCAGTGGGTTAAAGCCTCTGCCTTTGGCTCAGGTCATGATCGCAGGGTCCTGGGATTGGGCCCTGCATGGGGCTCTCTGCTCAGTGGGGGGCCTGCTTCCCCCACCCCTGCCTGCCTCTTTGCCTACTTGTGATCTCTGTCGAATAAATAAATAATCTTTAAAAAAAAATAAAAAGCAAAACTATTTAAAATCATATCAAGAAATGTAGAATACGATGGATAAATCTGACAAAATATGTGTAATATTTGTACCCTGAAAACTACAAGCTATTGCTGGAACAAATTACAGGAGGCCTAAATAAATAGAGAAATATACCATATGCATGGCTCAACCTCAAAACTGTCAATTCTGCCCAAATTAGTATATAGATTCAACACAATCCCAACCAAATTACTGACATTTTTCATAGAAATTGACAGGCTGGTTCTAAAATTTATATACAAATACAAAGGACATAGAATAGGCAAAACAAATTGAAAAAAGAAGAAGAAAGTTGGAGGACTTACACTAACAGATTCTAGGGCTTCTTATAAAGCTACATTTATCAAGACAATGCAGTATTGGGATAAAGACAGACATTTAGATCAATGGAATAGAATGGAAAGTCCATAGATACAGCCATGCATATATAATGAACCTAAGTGGAAGTTCAGTGGGAAAAGAGTAATCTTTTTTAACAAATGATGCTGGAACATCTGTAAAAAAACTAATCTAGAACTTTACTTCACATCATAAACAAAAATTAACTCAAATTGAACCAAAGATCTAAATACAAAAGGTAAAATTAAAAATAATTTTTAAAAGGTAAAATTATGAAATTCTCAAATATGAGAGTATCTTAATGACCTTAAATTTGTCAAAGATTCCTTAAATCTGACAAAAGATGTACAAATTGTAACAGAAATATAATAAACTGGGCTTCGCCAAAATAATGTTTTGTTCTTCCAAAGACATTGTTAATAAAGGACATCTTAGGGAGTGAAAAAATATTTGCAAACCCATATATACAACAGCAGATTTGCATCTAGAATAAAGAGCATTTACAACTGAATAAGAAAAAGTTAACTCAATTTTTAAAATGTGTAAAATATTTAAAAAGATATAACAGAAAGATATAAAGATGGCTAATTAGCATATTAAAAGATGTTCAAAATCATCCGCCAAAAGGAATACTCAAGATCACAGTGAGATAGCAGTATATACCCAACAGAAAGACTAACATTAAAGCACTAGCATGTCAAGTGTTGGTGAGAAGACTGAGCACACTGGAGCCCTAGACAGTGATGGGTGAGAACGCCAAGCAGTTTAACTACACTGGAAAACAGTTGGCAAAGTTTCCTATAACTTAAACATACATCAACCATATGCCCCAACCATTCCACAACTAATTTACTGGCAAGAAATAAAAACATAAGCTTACATAAAGTCTAGTACACAATGTTCACAGAAATTTTATTTGTAATAATCCCAAACTAGAAATAACCTAAATGTTCATCAGCAAGTCAATGAATATGCAAACTGTGGAATGGACTACTACTCCTCATTCAAAAAGAATAAAAATTAATGATACATGCATCAATGTTAATGAATCTCAGTAAGCTGAGTGAAAAGAAGCCAAATGGTACATACTGTGTGATTTCATTTATAGAAATTTCTAGAAAATACAAGCTATAGTGACAGGAATCAAATCAGTAGTTTCCTGGGAATGGTGGAGAGGGAGATTACAAAAGGCCAGAAGGAAATTTTTAAGAGGAACAAATATGTTCATTATTTTGATTTTGGTGGATATACATATGGGTATACACATATGTCAAAATTTATGTATACTTATGATTTTATACATGTCAAAAGCATACCATTTTTTAATATTCTAAATATGTGCCAATTAATATGCAATTATGCCTCAATAAAGCTGTTAAAAATATAATGTAGACTACAACAAATTGCACACTACTTAAAATGGATACACACACATATATACAAAGAAAGAAGTCTAGAATATTTACACTGTATTGTATTTTTGAAGGTGGTTAAAAGGTCTGGACTGAAGAGAAAAGATCAGTATGGTCAGAATGACATAACCAAACCGGGTCTGGGGGGAAAAGTCAACCTGATGGAAGGGTACAGATTAGACTGAAAAGGCAGACAAGTGTCCTTAGGAATTAAAAACCAGACCACATGTGAGTAACCAGGTATGTGTGAGTTGTGGGACAGAGATGTAGAGGAAGGGGATTAATCTGTAAACAAATACTATATCTCTTTCATTATAAATAACAGTGCTGCTTTAGGTGCATGAGATGAACAAGACATAAATCCTTGCAATTATGGAACTCACATTCTAGTAGGAGAGACAAATTATATATAAGTAAATATATGTGTTATGTGTGTTATGTGAAAAATAAAACAAGGTTATAAATATAAACATATGTACTACATTTAATATAAGCAGAAGGAATTACAATTCTTAGGTTGCTCAGAGCCCTCTGTGAAGAGGTCAAAGTAGTGTAAGGGTTAGCGGATAGCGCTAACATAGAAAGGACATAGGGGCTCAGTGGGTTAAGCCTCTGCCTTGGGCTCAGTTCATGATCTCAGGGTCCTGGGATCGAGTCCCACATCGGGCTCTCTGCTCAGCGGGGAGGGAGCCCGCTTCCCTCTCTTTCTCTGCCTGCTGCTCTGCCTACTTGTGATCTCTGTCAAATGAATGAAAAAAAAAAAAAAGAAATCTTTAAAAGAGAAAAAGGACATAGTGAAGGAAATACAGATGGAGCTTACTGATGAACAAGAAACTGTCTTTCCGGAACGCCAAGAAACCCTCCAAACATCCTCCAGAAGCTCTACGTGTGTTCCAGAGGTAGATTTCGCCCTCCTCCCTTGCCACAAACAAAAAGCCATACGTGGTGAAATAACTTCTCCATTAGTGTATGAGTGGAAAGCCTTATTTAAAATTGTGAAACTAGGGGGGTCTGGGGGGCTCAGTCAGTTAAGCATCTGCCTTTGGTTCCGGTCATGATCCCAGAGTCTGGGATCAAGCCCTACAACAGGCTCCCTGCTCAGTGGGGAGTCTGCTTCTCCCTCTGCCCCTCACCCCACTCATCCTCTCTTTTTCCCTCTCTCTAATAGTAAAATCTTTAAAAAAACAACTGTGAAACTTGCACTAAAATGGGCATGATCTCTATGGCCGCATATCAATCTGAGTAGAAAGGCAGAGTAGAGAATATATATTCTTACCCAATAAGAAAAGACAAAAATACAATACTGGAGAGGAATTACTGAAGAGAGCCGAGAGTCCAAAGGTGTGGCCAGTACTTGCCAAAAGACCCAAGAGCATGCCGTATTTCCTTCAAACACTAATACAATCTTGGACTGCATTAACAGAAATATAATGATCATAAGAAGGAAATCTCACCCCATTCTGTGATGATCAAAACCCATTCCCAGGATATGTTTGTGTCTGTGTACACCATATTGCTGGACAACCCAGAAAACTGAGGCTAATATCTACAAGATGACAACTAGTTGGGGAAACTAGAGAGCATTTCTTAGGACATGTTATGGAAAGTCAGATATAGAACTGTAATCTCCAAAGAAGTCTATGAGGTATAGGAAAAAAATGCTAAAACTCTTGTTCATATTTACTTTCATCTTTAAATAAAGACATTAGCTTTATCATTTCTTAATGTATGGGTTAACAAGTTCCATTTATGTAAATGATATATAACTGATAAATATAGTGTATACACTGGAGCTTTGCTCAAAATTTACTGATAGTGGGGCGCCTGGGTGGCTCAGTGGGTTAAAGCCTCTGCCTTCGGCTCAGGTCATGATCCCAGGGTCCTTCGGACTCTGCTCAGCAGGGAGCCTGCCGCACCCTCTCTCTCTGCCTGCGACTCTGCCTACTTGTGATCTCTGTCAAATAAATAAATAAAATCTTTAAAAAAAAACTTTACTGATAGCACTGCATAGTCAAAAAATAGATTTCAAAAAGACCACTGACCTGGAGAATAGAAGACTGGGAAACCAAAAAAATGACTAAGTTTTCATGATAGTGGTCTTCAGGTATTATTAGAAGTCTTTTCTTATAGAAGAAGCAATGGACTTATTCTGTGGTTCTTCAGAGGAAGAAGCACAGAATAAGTCACTAAAATTATAGGGTTTACCATCTAATATAAAAAAATAAACCTAGTTATTAAATTCGTCCAACTAGGGAATAGGTTGCCTTGGGAAATAACGAGCTTCTTGTGCTTTGAGAGGTCAAGACATAAAAACATATCTACCATTAAAACTGTAGAAAAGATATCTGAGTATGTAATAGGCTGAGCCAGAAAACCTTTAATGCTCCTTCTTAGACACAAATAATTGATGATTATAGGATATACATACTACGAATATTGTTGTATAATAAAAAAATTTAACTGGTCTTTGTCTCTGGTTCTCTGAAAGAAAATTCTAAATCTTTTGAATTTTCTGAGTAATGAGTATGTCTTTGTTATGTAATGAGGTCACTGGAGGTGGACCCTTACAGGGGCTGGTCAATGCCAGAAATACCAACCATGTGATTAGAGGGCTAGGGCATTGGCTCCCGTGGTATCAGCTGGCCCTCCTGACCTCCAGGAAGAGGAGGGAAACTGGAGGTTCAGTTCCGTAACAGCCAACCAGGGCTACATAATGCAACTCCAACAATGCCAACTTTAATTCCGTGGAGATCCCTGGTTGGTGAATACACAGATGGGCTGGGAGGGTAATGTGCTCGGATTCCATGGGAAAAGAGTGTAAAATCTCTGCATTCAGGGCCCTCCTAGACCTAGCTGTAAGAGTATCTTCACTTGGCCATTTCTGAGTTGTGTTCTTTACAGTAAAACTGTAATCATCAGTATGGTGTTCTCCTAAGTTCTACGAGTTGTTCTAGCAAATCATCAAAGCTGAGCCCCCAAATCTGTGGCCAGCTGGTCAGAAATACAGGTGGTCTGGGGACCCCTTGAGCTTGTAGCTGGTGTGTGAGTCAGGAGCAGACCTGTGGGGGCCTAAGTCCTTAACTTGTGGGGTCTCTGCACCCTGGGTAGTTAGTGCTAGAACCAAACTGCAGTCTACCAGTCCGTGTTAGACCAGCTGGGGTTGAAACAATAAGTATACTGAAACATTTTTTATTCTAAACTTTAGTACTGAATGTAAAAATCCACTTCTTCCTAATGCTAAAATATACATTTTCTGTATATAGAGTTGTGCATTTCAAAAGCTGGGCTCTTACCAGAATACTAAATAGGTAGGTATTTAGCATATACCAATAGGATAAGATTTCCATAATATTTGTCATTTTCTACAGAGTACAACAATTTTCCAACAGAAGAGTTACGAGGAAAGAGGAAACATACCTTTAAGACATTTGAACAAAGTAACTCTGCTAAAAATATTACGTGCAAAAGTATCATATCCTTTGTTGGTAGAATCCATAACAACAAAAATGTGTGAATTATCTGGTCTCTACATTCCTGTCAACTAGGAGCTAAGCTGATTTTAATATTTAACATTTACTAAAAAGAAATTAGGAAACACATAAGCAGACTGTATCTACCAAAAATAGGGAAAACATATCAGCTCAGATCATTAATTAAAATTCACTGACAAGTCCTAGAAAAATATTTTTGGACTCATTTAAATGTGTTTTTCACGCAAAACAGCACAAACTGACTTCATGCCAACATTCTATATTTAATCTGTACCCGTGTGCTTACCTGGTTTAACAGCTCGCCCACAGAGCTGGGGCTGTAGAAGAACTTGTAACATGGCAGGATTGTTTAAACTTTTCATAATTTGTACAGGATTTGGCTCTGGAAGTAAGCCTTTTTGATTACTGTGCATCTTCAATAAATACAGAAATAGAAAACATCAGAACAAGGATAAGTACAAAAGATGAAATTTTAAAGGCTTTCTTTCAGAAGTTCTTACTCCTCTCATCTTTATGATAAATGCAAACTGCTTTACATTATACATTTCTGTATATATTCTACAATTCCTAATTATAATGTTAAGATATTCTATTATACAGCATATACTGAAATCTTCACAAAATGTCTCTGTGAAATACAATTTGGCTTTAACAGGACTGATAATTTAGTAAGATAAATCTCATCACACAATACAAGTAGAAAAATGCCAAGGGAATCTGAATTTATTAATGGGGAGTTAATTTGTTGACACAGTATGAATACTTTATACTACAGAAGAGCCTTACTATAATGTTTATCTAAAGCATAATAATGTGGGTTGCCTTACAAACAAAATTTTTCTTGTACTGAAAGTCTTTATTAGGGGCGCCTGGGTGGCTCAGATGGTTAAGCGTCTGCCTTTGGCCCAGGTCATAATCCCAGTGTCCTTGGATCAAGCCCCATATCAGGCTCCTTGCTCAGTGGGGAGTCTGCTTCTTCCTCTCCCTCTCCCCCTGCTCATGCTCACTATATCTGTCTCAAATAAATAAATCCTTAAAAAAAAAGTCTTCATTAACTTAATCTTCTGAGACAAAGCCGAACTGGACTCACAAACACATGTGAGGTATAGGTAGCATCCTAAAAATATGAAATTGCTTTCAGTTTCAAAAACCAACCTGATAGATGAGAACATTAATATACAGTTATAAAGTACTATAAACTTCTAGTCATGAAAAATTGGAGAACCGACAATACGAGTGGGATCCCTCTCTAAACCCAGATACTGTGAACCTAAGAGGGAGAGGGTGACAGATCTGAGACTCGGACACAAAATCTGTGAGAACTCTCTAAAGAGAGAAGGAGGAGGGTCTAGACGTAGAGGTAGAGACTTCCACAGGGAGCATGAGGGAGTCTGGGTCTACTGCCAGTTTGGGGAAGGGCTTTTGTCTTGTGCAACTGTAATGAGGGCTTTTCTGGCCAGCACAAGGAGAGAAACCCCCAGCATCAATCCAGGGAATGTCACAGGACCACTGAATTAAGTTTCTCAAGGTGCAGCGTTGCCTGGTTGGGTGGGAAAAGGGCTGTGGTCAAGGACAGATAGTAAAGGAGAGGTTCTTGGCTCTGGGTTCTCCTCTGATCTGAATTCGCTAAACCCTGGCTAAAATGAACATGCTTCCTCTCTCCCCTGTCCAACATCCACTCCCCCAACCTCTAAACACTAACATTCGAGGAAGCTAAAACCCTCCCAGGGAAATACGTATTCACAGAACACAGCTAGACATCTGGAGAATGTAGCCATTAAATGTAACAAACCAAATCACCTCAAAGAGATGAGCCAGAATTAATGGATAGGAAATAATAAGAACACCACATAGCAATAGGCATAATAGATAACCCTTAAAAATTTTTTATTCGTAATGGGAATCAAGGACAAGCAGCTACAAAGAATAACGAATTAGAAATACTGGGTATGAAAAACATAAACATTAAAAAAAGAAAAAAGCTGCCCTCACCACGTACTTGGCATCGTTCTACACACTTTACGTGGATTGTATCACGTAGTCCTCCAAAACAACTCTACAGGACTGGTACTATTATCATCATTCTATAGACAAGGAAACTGAAGAAACTCATGCAGAGCATCAGTCTTAACCTCTATCCTGTGGTTGAACAGATCACTAGTAGCTTATGTGTGGCTGAAAAACAAAACAGAGACTTGAAAGATCAAAGAAAGCTCTCTGAAGACAAGGCAAAGGATAAAGAAGTGGAAAATGCAAATAAACCCAACAAAACATGGAAATAAGAAACACGAAAGAGAAAAAGCAAGGCAATGGAGAGGCTGGACCTGTCAACCTGTACAAAATAGGAATCCCTGAAAGAGAAGAAAAAAGAAGGAGGGCTTTGAAGAAATAATGGCTGAGAATTTCTCATTATTGAAGAAAAATTAAAAAACATGGAATGAAAGTGGTTACGGTGTTCCAAAGATGATGTATAAGGAAAAAACACACCTAGTCACATTTTTGGGTTTGAAACTTAAGAACATCAAAGCCAAAGAGAAAACGCTAGAAGCTTCCAGTGAGAAAGAATGTATTTGCAAGGAAACAGAAATGAATTAATACAATCTTCTCCCTCAAAGCATCAACATTGGATTTGAGAAGGCAACAAATTAGTATTTTCAAAGTGCCAAAGGAAGAACTTTGAATCTCTATTTTTAATATTTTTATATCCAGCTATTATTTAAATATGTGAAAAATAAAAATACTTCCAACTACGCAAATTCTCAAAAGTTTTTACCTTAATACCTTCTCTGAAAATGAGACAGTGAGATGCAGTAAATGCAAGACAATATTACATGATATGTGCAAATAAAGATATGTAATAGCATAGCTCATTTCATTCTTGCATGCAAAACCCAGTACCATGGGGAAAAAATACTTCAGGCAATCCTAAAGTTAAAATGTAGACACCAGTATGGTGGTAGGTGGGGTAAGGAAGGAGGAAGTAGGATGGAGATAAGATTGAGTTAAGTGGGAAGAAAGGGATACTGATAAATCTAGGGGTATAAATAAGGTAGGGGCGATCACCACCAATAGGATAAAGTCAGAACATATTATTTTCAAATGTGTAGAAGATTTTTTTTTTAAGTAATTATCTTTCTATGGATTTTTTCTTTTTTTTTTTTTTTTTCCCCTCATCCACAAAATCTCAACCCTCCACTTCCTGATCTTAGGGGCCTCAGATAATTTAAAAACCTCATTTAACAAACATTTATTTGGTGTCTAGTGTAAATGAGTATGACTGATGCCGGGGAGGAATACCAAGATGTGCAAGACACAGCTCCCTGCCTTTCTAGAAAAGAATTTGAATGAAATGGACCAGGGGAGAACCCAACCATCAGTCATTACAACCTCTCCTTTGTTGGCCTTTAGCTATCAAGCACATTGCTGCTGCAACGGGGGTATGCACTTGACCAGTTTAGTTCTCAAACTGTTGTCCTCACATGGAAAATGCAGAATTCCATTTAATTTTCACTTTTATGGGGGTGACATTAAGGAAGGCACATTTGGGTTTGGTGTCTGAGGGGTTTCCTTTTTCCTGTCCCAGAGATGCTTACCTATTCCCACCTATTCCCCAGGACAACGCACACTCAAAGAAAATTCTTATTTATCCAATGTTTGATGGGAAATGAAAATATTTTTTAAAAGTATAGTTAAAAGAAAACACGATATAAGAAAATAATAACTACATATTTAAACAGTCTAAGTACCAATTAAAGACAGATTTTTAAAACTGTTTTAGAGCGACATGTTAGCTATAAGACACACACCTAAAATGACAGAAAGATTGGCAATGAAGGGATGGCAAATATAAATGAAAATAAAGTTCAAGTAGCAACTGTAACATCAGAAAAGCACACAGAGGGGTAATCAATAGGAATACAAACAAATATGTACCTAATAATTATACTTATACCTATCTATCTGTCTATGGAGAAACAACTAATAGAATGAGAAAAAGAAAATCCAACAATTATACATGATAACTTCTAATACATTCCTCTCAGACACTGACAGATCAAATTAAAAAATAAGCAAAGATATGGAAGATCTGAGTCACAATTAACAGTCTCAAACCAATATTTATACATACATATATGCACATTTAACCTTGTAACCCACAAACAGAGAGTTTGGATTGTTTTTGAGCCTACATGGCACATTCACAAAAAGTAACCATTTGACAAAACAAAATGCAGCCAAATCAACATTAGGGATTAGATTCTCTGACCACAATGCAATAAATTACAAATCTATGTCAGAAGAACAGTTTCTTGAAATTCCTCAGTGGAATAAACTGAAAAATGGAAACAAAAGTAATTAAGCTTTAAGTTTAAAAGGAAATCATAAAACAATTTGAAACATTTATAATTTAAAATTTATGACATGTTGTATAGTTGTTGAATCACTCTATTGTACACCTGAAATTAATATAACACTGTATGTTAACTAGGATTAAAAGAAAAACTTAAAAAGCCAAAATAAAATAAAATTCAGGATACATATGTATAACAGTTAAAAATAAACTTGATTTACTAAATTAATCAGAAAATACAAATAATATAGATTGAAAACAAAGGTGTTAAGAATTAATATCAATAAAGACAAAGGAGAAAGAGTAACCCCAAAGAAGAAAACAAGGATATTATAAAGATAAGGACAGACACTGTGGGAAACAGTAGGGAGGCTCCTCAAGAAATTAAAAGTAGTATTGCCATACGATCCAGTAATTCCTCTACTGGGTATTTACTCAAAGAATACAAAAACAGTAATTTGAAAAAATACATACACCCCTATGTATGTATACACCCTACTAAAGCATTATTTACAACAGCCAGGATAGGGCTGCAGCCCAAATGTCCACTGATAGATAAATGGATAAAGAAAAGGTGAGATACATACATACACACTCACAGGAATATTACTCAGCCAAAAAAAAAAAGACTTACATCCTGCCATTTGCAACAACATGAATGGATCTAAAGGGTGTAATTGGTAAGTGAAATAGATCAGAGAAAGACAAATACCCTATGATTTCATTCTTCTGTGGAATTTATGAAACTAACAAAAAAAAGAAAAGGGACAAACTAAGAAACAGACTCTTCACCATAGAGAACAAACAGAGGGTTTCCAGAGGGGAGGTTGTTGGGGGATGGGTGAAATAGATGAAGGGGATTAAGAGTACACTTAAGATAAGGAGCCCTGAGTAAGGTATAGAACTGCTGAATCACTATATTGTATACCTGAAATGTACACCATATGTAATCTATACTGGAATTAAAATTTAAAAAGAAGGGCAGAAATAAGCAAAAGATAGAAATAACGAATAGAACAAAACCTGTTTCTTTGAAAAGACAAAACAGGGAAATCTTTTCTAAGACTGATCAAAGAAGGGGTACCTAGGTAGCTCAGACAGTTAACTGACAGTCAACTGATTTTGGCTTAGGTCATGATCTCGGGGTCATGAGATCAATTAAGCCCTGCTTCGGGATCTGTGCTCAGTGTGGAAACTGCTTGAGATTCTCTCTTTTCCTCTCCTTCTGCAACACCCCCATTCATGTGCATTCTCATTCTCTCTCTAAAACAACAACAACAACAACAAAAAACAGATCAAAGAGAAAAAAGAAAATGCAAATAAATATACAATACAAATGAGAATAGTAAACAGGACAATTTGATTTTTTTTAAGATTTTATTTATTTATTTGAGAGAGTGAGTGAGAGAGAGAACAAACACAAGTAGAAGGAAGAGCAGAGGGAGAGGAAGACGCAGGCTCCCACCTGAGCAGGAAGCCTAATGCAGGGTTCGATCCCAGGACTTCAGAAGCATGGATCAGAACAAATTTTAAAATAATATTATAAATGACTACGTGCCAATAAATTTGAAAATGTAGACAAAGTGGATGAATCTATAGAATATAATCAAATGCCAGTATGCTATAGAAAGAAAAATAAATTAAAAAAATAAAACTAAAATATCTAAATATCTGTAGAAGGAACGTAATCTGTAACCAATGATTTCCCTCTATATGGGGCTCCAGGACTAGGTCTACATGATTTCATGGATGAGACTTTTCAAACTTTTAAAGAACAGGAAAGCCCTATTTTAGGTGAGTTGATCCATGAAATAGAAAGAAAAGGGGGAGAAGGAGAAAAAATAGTTAAATCATTTAATGAAGTCAGTATGCCTTTGATTCCAAAATAAATGATGGTTTCAGCGTTTTTCACTTATGACCACATGAGCATATAACAAAATAAAATATTATCCAGTCAAATCAAACAATGCATTGGAAAAATGTTATCAATTAGAGCTTATAATAGAAGGATGGTTTAACGTTAGGAAATCAGAGTGATTCAGCACATGAATGAATTTAGGAAGAAATCACATGATTATCTCAATAGTTAAAGAAATATTTTGATAAATTTCAGTACCTATTTATGATTGTTTTTATATCTCAGAAAACTTGATAAAAGGTTACATACGAAAATCCAAGTAATGCAAATGCATTACTTTTTATTAAGAAACATTTAAGATTTCTCATTGTCACTGACATTCAATCACGAAGGGCCCAGCACGCTGTGCAAAGAAACCTGAACTTATGCAGGTATTAAAGAATATTAAGCAAGTGAATAACACGATCTGACTTGAGGATGGAAAAGATCACTCTTGAGGCCCTATGGAAGATGAGTTATAGTGGTGACTACACAGGTGATTATTTTTATCATCTAGATGAGAAAAGAGGAGATCCTGAGTAAACAAAGATGTTGACAAGCCTCAAGGATTGAAGAGATGTTAGGATGTGCAATTGAATGGATTTGCTAATATTTTCAACATCTAGATTTGGGGAGCAGGTGAGGAAGACCCATTATGATTAACTGAGTTGTTGGTTCAGATAATTTTAGTTTGGGTGAACGGGTGCCATATACACAACACAGAATTGTACGTGTGTGTCACACATGTGTAGTGGCATCAAGCCATCCAGGTGTGTGTTCTTCTCCAAGGGAACACAGCGCCCTGGTGCAAAGTAGGCAATTGGATGGATTCAGACCTGTACACTCAGCAAGTCCAGGTCAGAGCACAGAAAAGCAAGATCCAGAGAAAAGACAGTTTTCTTTTGGAAATGTTGAAATTGAACTACTTTCATAACATAACTACTTATATAACATGGAGATGGAATGCTTAATAATCATGTGAAAGCACAGATTTTGTGCTGAGGGTGAATGGGTTAAAAAATAGGCGCGTGCAAGTCATTCTTGATCGGCGGTAACTGGGGCTGCTGGAGCACACAAGGAGAAGAAAGTGAGAAAAAACAAATGCACACACGTACTGATACCAGCCGTTAAGGAAAAGGAAGGGGAAGGAGTAGTTAGGCAGAAAAAGAATAGTGGGGTAGAAATCTAGAGTGGAGACTCTTCAAGAGACCAGGCGATAAAAGACTGAATAGCGCCTATTCAACCTCAATACTGAGAAATGTCTATGAATCTTAACGAGAACAGTTTCACATGAATAGCAGAGGCAGAAACCATGGTGGATCTGGCAGAGACAGAAATGAAGAAATGAGGACAGCAAGTGGGGCCTAATTATTCCTGAAGCTCCGAGGTGAAGGAAGAGTAATATAAAGACCACTGTGTAGAGATCATTTTTAAAGGGAAGGATCTGAGCATGTCTACAAGCAGGAGGAATGGAGCTAGTGGAGCATCCAATGACAGGAAGTAGGAAGGTGAGGATCAAGGTCCTTGGAGATGGCAGACGTGGTCATGAGCTCCAGCACTGGCAGGATGAGGCACAGCTCTTCCTCCAAGAAAGCAGGGATCTTTGTCCATATTGTTCACTGATGAACCATAAACATCTCTCACTGTGCCCAGTACATATTTGTGGAATGAATGCTACTAAAGAGAAAAGGAAGTAAAAAACAGGGACATAGGGCACCTGAGTGGCATGGTAGATTAAGGATCCGACTCTTGGTTTCAGCTCGGGTCATGATCTCAGGGTTATGAGATGGAGCGCCATGTGGGCTCCGTGCTCGGCTCAGAATCTGCTTGAGCTTCTCTCTCTCCCTCCTCCTCTGCTCCTCCCCCCACCCACCTCCATGCACACTCACACTCTCCCTCTCAAATAATTTTTTTTTTTAATGGGACACATTTGCTGGGGCAGCATGAGAAGAGGTGAATGAATGATCCAGCACATGGCCTTTGTATTTCTAAACATGAGGAGCCATGATCAGCTGACAGAAAGGACAAAGGGAGAAACACAGTGAAGGTTCGAGATAGTGGCTGTAGAAACTGGGAACGAGCAGCTGATGAGAGACGAGGAGCTCAAGTTTTGCTTGGGAGCAGCCATTAATACTTCATGTATTACACACATGAAGTAGCACCAAGCCGCATAGGTGTTTCTCTTCAAGAGGACACAGTGCCCTGGTGCAGAAATACGTCACTGGATGGATTCAGAATTCTAAACGCAGTCAGTCTGGTCCAGCAGAGGCAATTTAAGCAGAGACACAATGTTGACAGTCAAAGAAGAGCTGAAGTTGTGATGTACACAAGCTAGGACAGGAGAATGACAGAACCAAAGAGGGAAGGACAAACTACAAAAGAAGGGAGGCGGGATCCAGAACCAGAGGTGAGGTTAAAGAACAGGGAGAGAAGGGCAAGAGATGTGAACCAAGAGCAATCTCCTCTGTTTTCCTCCCTTCTCAGTTCACCTATGAACCACTTTCAGAATAATGTCTTGATAGCTTACCTCTGATCCCATCGCTGTCTTGTTTATATACTTCAAGAGCTCTCCCGTGCTTACCAAATTCAATCTCCATTCCTCCAGTGCTCAACGGTCCTCCCTGATTTGTCAGCAGTCTACCATCTCACCAGTCACCCTTCCTACACTGCTCCACCTCCACCTCACCACTCTAGAAGCATGCAAATTCGCCTCATTCTCCAGCTTGAAAGCTTTTGTTCAACTCACTCTACCACCTTACAGTTGTGAGATTTAGCAAGTGAAAATTCAAAATGGCCACTTAAACTGGGGTTTCAGATAAAGCATGAATTTTTTCCATATAATGTCTCATGCAAAATCTCTATTTATCTGGCTATCCTATCCTATCCTCCACTCCCAACAGTACAATGCAAAATCAGACTTTAATGTCACACTCAAATGTCCCTTCCATCATGAAGACTTCTTCCCAGATCCCTCAAAAGTGTATTCCTGCCTTAGTTCAGTCAACAAGTATTTATTATGCTAAGTGCCTCGAGTCAAAACTGAAGAAGGATTAGTCACTATCCACACGAACTTTCACAGAGAGAGAGGCCCAGAGAAGAAGCACACAGTTAACAATAGAGAGGTAGTAACAAATGGGCCCTGTGAGCAAAAGCAAAGCACACGCCTTCCTGTATTTGTACGACGGATACTTATGAACACTTTGAAAAAACGGACCTGACACTCAAAATGTAGAACAGAATGTTCCCTCCAAAAAAATTTATTTGGATAAACGTTACCAAAAGCAATTTCTTCTTTTGCAATGACTTCCGCCTTGATGTGACAGAGATACCGTTTAGACAATTTTTTTCAAAGGAAGAATATCTTTGTGTAATGGAAATATGATGAGGGCCCAGTGAATGGCCAACTGGTTTGGAGAGACTAAAACAGTACGTGAATGTTTCTAGATCCTAATAAAGAAGGCTAGACTTACCACACGTTGAGCTGCTATCAATGCTGCTAACGTACTTCGCCCTGGCGCTCCCGGAGCACAGAAGGAAACTTGGACTTTGCTCCCCTTGATGGTCATGCCATCCGCTACTTGCTGAACCTCTTCGGCGTGCTCCGCAGTGTTATATTCAACCACTGCAAAGCCACCAACATAACTACCTTCATCCTGTGCAAGCTGATTTAATACATTTGGTTAAAAGGAGAACTCTAATATTCAGTTAGAAATATTTATTTTCAGTATATAATTTTCAAATTCAAAAACAAATGTATCAGAGCATGATGCTGGTGAAAATAATATATTCTTTCTCTCTAAAATTAGGTTTCTTAGTTGTGGGAGGCCTGGCTGGCTCAGTTGGGAGAGCATGAGACTCTTGATCTTGGGGTCATGAGTCTGAGCCCCAAGTTGGGCGTAGAGATTACTTTTTAAATGAGTAAATAAACAAATAAAAATAAAAGCTCATTAGTTGCTTAGATATGGTCCTTACTGAAGATAGGATGATAAACAAGATTCTGTCAAGTTTCTTTTTAATTCTTTGATTTTCTAATTTATTTTAAAAGTCAATGCTCAAGGGGCGCCTGGGTGGCTCAGTGGGTTAAGTCTCTGCCTTTGGCTCAGGTCATGATCTCAGGGTCCTGGGATCGAGTCCTGAATGGGCTCTCTGCTTGGCAGGGAGCCTGCTTCCTCCTCTCTACTTGCTTCTCTGCCTACTTGGAATCTCTCTGTGTCAAATAAATAAAAAAATTCTTAAAAAAAAAAGTCAATGCTCAAATGATAATATTCCCTCTATTTTAAGAAAGATGTAGAACTGATAATTTAGACATAGAAAAATATGGAGACTCAGTAACTGAAACCTTCTTTGAATTTACCAGATACGTGGACAGTGAAAGATACTGAACAATTATTTGACCACATAGCTATGTAAATTAAAGTCTGTATTATCAAGAGAAGAAAAGTAGGAGGAACCATATTCAACTTTTAATTCAATAATTTTTAGGCAGATCTCAGGAATTTGGTCAAGTATTCCCAATCAAAGTTTATTTGGGAAAACTGCCCCAGGGTTTGTTAAAATGCCATATGCAACACACAAGTTTTATTTCTGAATGTGCCCTAAATGAACTCCTGCAATGCTGAGCTTGATTTGTTTCCAGTCACCCACCTGTAAGAGTGTAAAGGAAGATACTAAAGTCCTGGATCTGTAAAGACTGGTACAAAGAGCAAAAATAAGAACAAATAAGACACTAAAAAGTTTCGAAGTTCTGAATATGTCTGATTTATCTTAAACACATTCATGTGATAAAGTGGTAAATGTGATAAAATTCAGCATGGTAGGTCTCAACACATGTTTGGATTTCATGTCTCTGAAGTTAATATTACAATTAAATAATTTCAGTCTTTTTTAGTTTCTATCTTATTTTAGAAACTTCACTTTCTTGTATTGTTAGAACAAATTTCTATTTTTCCCTTCACCTTCTTCTTCCTTTTAAAACTGTCCTCAAATGTCTTTTCTTCCACAAAACTTTTCCAACCACATGATAGAAAGGAAAAACATCTGCCTCTTCCAAACATTTCTCCTACAACCCCATTCCTCTTGTAATCCAAACCAGATATTATAATCAGATTTGTAAAAGCCATCAGTCTTTGGTGTCTCATGATCACAAGAAAAGAGACTATCTTCAGTACAATCTACGTCAACCTACCAGGCAAAAGAGCCTGAATTTCATAGATCCACTGATAAAGGCATCATAAATTTGTTTTATTATTCTTTTGAGAACTTTTGAAACACTTACTATTATTCCTGGTTCATTATGATAGCTTTCATGCCATATAAATTATAATACCATTTTAATTCTTTCAAAAGACAAACTCATCTAAGTTCATAGCATCAGTAGTTTTAGAGAGAAATATTTCAGTTCAGTAGGAGAGCCATTCAAATATGGAATGGTCTGACTTCTGATCTAGTTAATTTCCCATTATCTTGGAATATTTTAATAGAAGCTAAATGGTCACTCACAAATAATATAACAAACATTTTTCTACCACTGGCAACCTAGATTAGAGAACCTGTCATGTACCTTCCAACTCTGGGATACATAATTGAAATACAAGTTGTGATAAATGGGTTTTCTCCTCACGTTTGTTTCAAAGGCCTCAACTACAAAGAATTTTCCTTGACCACAGAATACCACTGAATAATTTTAGTATCCAAGAAAAGGATATGGATTAGATTTCAACATCTATCACCTTTCAATAACTGGGAAAAGATTGGATATAAGATCTGTCACAAAATTTTCTAACTTTATGATGCTCTTAGATTGTTTCTTTGATGTATATATTGGGACTGGAGGAGTAGAAATGTAAGAAAAAGATAGTAGCATTAATCTATTGTTTGTATAATTAGAGTTATACAGTATATATAGTTATTTTGTTATATATAATCTGTATTAGTTATTTATACATTATACAATAAATGTATATATTTATATAAACATGATATATAATACATTATAATAATATATAGGTGTATATATATGTGGTTGTGTGTGTGTATATATATATATACACACATAAATTTTACATTTATATATATATATATATAAAACTATAACAACTCCAAACTTTCTAGTGTAATAGTAGAGACTCAACAAATGTATGATTAAAGAAAAATGGTGGGTGGTGGGGGCAGGGAATACGGGATAAGAAGAAAAGGAACATGGGAGGAGAGAAGAAAGGGAAGGAAGAAATTAAGGGAAGCAAGAGAGGAAAGAGTTCATCAGTTGCTATTGAACACTTACAAGAGAAGGAGCTTTATACGGTACACATTTTTATCTATTTAATAGAATATATATATAATTTTACTGATCAAGTGCATGAAAAGTCTTACCAGTGTTGTTAGTTTTCAGGATCTTCTCTAAATGTCTCACCATGATCCCATTAAGACAGAATTACACATTCTTTTTAAGCTTCATAATACTTTCCTATCTTCCATTACATTACTCTTTATATAATTTATGATTATTTGCCTGTCAGTACCTTCTACAAAATTGTGAAGTATTGAGAGAGTACGTTTCTCTTCTCTGTATTTCTAACTTTAAGCAATATAGTGTCTGGTGCAGAGAAGATAATAAGTAAAACGTGGACGGATGAATGGATCAAAGGATGAAGAGCTCAAGAAATTGATAGAATGAGGTAAATAAGTGATGGGTTTACTAAGACATATCTACTATATAATAATATAAATTGACTCATTCATAAAAGGACTTGACTTAAAATTTAGAGTGACCATAAAGTCTTCACTGCGGACTAAAGAAGAATTAGATTATCCTTTGTGATATTCACATAGGTATAATAAATTTGTGAGTGCATGTAGAATACATAAGCAGAAATTTTCAAATATTTCAAATGATACCGTAAGAATACATACCTGGCAAAACATGGGTTTATGTATATTGGAAAAAAATTGCAACAGCTCTTCTGAATCCCTGTAGTCACTAGGGAGTTTATCTATACAAAGGCACTTAGAATGAATGAGCTCTGGGGCCAATAGATTAACATCCATCCATTGTGCAAACAGAGCTGAAGTTCCCAACTGTTTACCCAATAACTCCAATCTAGCCTTTGCAGCGAAGTCCTTTTTCATGTATTCCACAAATCCATAGCCTTTGGAATGGCCAGTAACTTCACTGTATACTAGAAAACATCTCTCGATATTTCCATAAGCACGAACAAGTTCTTCAAATTCTTCTAATGTAAAAGAAGTGGGCAAGTTGGTAATACACAGCAAAGCATCTGTTGGCTGGAGCTGAACAATTAAGTCCTTTCCTCGAAAAGAATATTGATGAAACATCCGAATTGCATTCTGGGCTTGCTCCCCGTTCAGTAAGGTAACAAAAGCTAGAAGATAACAAAAAGAATTAAAGGATTTTCTAAGCCAGTGTTTTCAAAATTTTTTTGACTATGACCCACAGTAAGGAATATATTTTTGGTCTGTGACTCGGTACACAAATACACATTGCTGAAACAAAAGTATAAGAACAAAAATTCCTACTACATGTGATGCACTCTGAAATATCTATTCCATTTCATGGTATTTTTTAATGCTGACACTACTCACTTAAGTAATTTCACAACCAAAGACTCAAATAAAAGTATAGGAATTATATTAGGAGTTCTACTATAAGATACTATAATGTTGTTTTGTTTTTTTATTTTTATAATGTTTTCAAACTACATAAAGATTTTATTTTTCCCAACTACATGTAATGCAAAGTATCGGAAAGTCTTAAAAATTTTCTTTTATATTGCAGCACCTAAATACATAAAGCAAATATTAACAGACACAAAGCAAGAAACTGATAGTAACACAATAATAGTAGGGGACTTTAACACCTGACTTACATCAATGGGTAGATCATCCAGGCGGAAAATCAATAAGGAAACAGTGTCTTTGAATGACACATTAGAGCAGTCGGACTTAACAGATACATATAGAACATTCCATCCAAAACCAACAGAGTATACATTCTTTTCAAGTTCACAGGGAACATTCTCCAGAATAAGTCAAGTTTCAATAAATTTGAGAAAACTAAAATCCTTTCACATATACTTTGATTATAATGGTATAAAATAAGAAATCAATCACAGGAAAAAAAAATCCCCCCAAAACATGGAAGCTAAATAACATGCTACTAAACAGCCAATGGGTGAATAAAGAAATCGAAGAGGAAATTAAGAAAATATATAAAGACAAATGAAAATAAAAACACAGTGATCCAAAATCTTTGGGACACAGCAAAAGCAGTTCGAAGAGGAAAATGTATAGGGAAATTTATAGGGAAAATTTACAGGCCTACCTCAAGCAACAAGAAAAATCTCAAACCATCTAACCCAACACCTACAAGAACTAGAAAAGGAAGAACAAACCAAGCCCAGAGCCAGCAGAAGGAAGGAAGGAAGATCAGAGCAGAAATAAATTAGGAACTTAAAGAACAATAGAAAAGATCAATGAAACCAAGAACTGGTTCTTTGAAAAGATAAACAAAATCGTTAAATTTTTAACCAGTCTTATCAAGAAAAAAAGAGAGGATACAAATAAGTAAAATCAGAAATGAAAGGGGAATTAACCAACACAACAGAAATATGGACGATTATAAGGGAATACTACAAAAAATTGTATGTCAACACATTGGACAACCTAGAAGAAATGGATAGATTCCTAGAAACATATCATCTTCTTAAAATTCAATCAGGAAGACAGAGAAAAACTGAACAGAACAATTACTAATATCAAAGCTGATTTGGTAATCAAAACTTTCAATAAACAGAGGTCCAGGACCAGATTGCTTTATATGTTTATTCTACATTTCATTTAACCAAGAATTAATACTGATTGTCCTCAAACTATTTCAAAAAATAGAAGAGGAAGGAAAGCTTTCAAATACATTCTACGAGGCCAGTATTACCCTGATACAAAAACCAGACAGAGACACTATGAAAAAAAAGAAAAGTACAGACTAATATTTCTGATGAACATAGATGCAAAAATCCTGAACAAAATATTAGCAAGTGTATTCAGCAATACATTGAAAGGATCATTCACCTAGAACAAGTGAGATTTATTCCAGGGATGCAGGGAGGTTCAATATTCACAAATCAATCAATGTGATAAACCACATTAACAAAATAAGAATAAAAACCATAAAATCATCTCAATACATGCAGAAAAGGCATTTGACAAAATTCAACATCTGTTCATGTTAAAAACCCTTAACAAAGTGTGTTCAGGGGATACCTTAAGCTAAATAAAGGTCATTCATGAAAAATCCACAGCTAACATCAGACTCAATGGTAAAAAACTGGGTTTTTTTTCTCTAAGATTAGAAACAAGACAATGATGTCCATTCTTTTTATTCAGTATAGTCTGCAAGTCCTAACCATAGCAATTAGATAAGAAAATTCATCCAAATTGGTAAGGAAGAAGTTAAATTGTCACTATTTGCAAATGACATGACGTTATAAATAGAAAACCGTAAAGACTCCACCAAAAACTATTAGAATTAATTCAGTAAAGCTGCAAGATTCAAAATTAATACACAAAAAACAGTTGCTTTTCTGTACACTAATAATGAAATAGCAGGAAAGAGAAAGAAAACAATTCATTTATAATAGCACCAAAAAGAATAAAATGTCTAGGAATAAATTTAACCAAGCATGTAAAAGACCTGTACTCTGAAAACTAGGACAATGATGAAACTGAAGATGGCACAAACAAATGGAAAAATATCTCATGCTCCTGGACTGGAAGAACAAACACTCTCAAAATGTCTATATTACTCAAAGCCATCTACAGATTTAATGCATTCTCTAATGAAATACCAACATTTTTCACAGAACTAGAACAAATAATCTTAAAATTTATATGGAACCTCAAAGGACCTCAAAACGCCAAAGGAATCTCGAGAAAGAACAAAGCTAGAGGTATCACAATCCCAGATTTCAAGGTCTACTACAAACCACGGTAATCAAAACAGTTTGGTACTGGCACAAAAACAGACACATAGATCAATGAAACAGAGAGCCCCCAAATAAGCCCATGCCTATATGGTCAATTAATCTATAACAAAGAAGGCAAGAATATACAATAGGGAAGACAGTCTATTCAATACGTGGTGCTGGGAAAACTAGATAGCGACATGCGAAAGAATGAAACTGGATCACTTTTTTACACCATACACAAAACACACTCAAAATGAACTGAAGACCTAAATGTGAGACCTGAACCCATAAAACCCCCAATGGTTGAAAAAAAAAGAGGCAATGATCTCTTGGACATCACCCTTAGCAAAATATTTATGGATATGTCTCCTTAGGCAAGGGAAACAAAAGCAAAAATAAACCACTGTGCCTACACAAAAATAATTTGCCCAGCAAAGGAGATCATCAACAAAACAAAAAGACAACATAATGAATGGGAGAAGAAATTTACAAATGATATATATGATAAAGGATTGATATCCAAAATCTATAAACTCATACAACTCAACACACATGCACGCACGCACACACACAAAAAACCACTAAAAAACAATCTGACTAAAAAAATAGGCGGAGGACCTGAATAGACATTTTTCCAAAGAAGACACACAGATGGCCAACACATACATGAAAAGATGCTCAACATCTCTCATCAGAGAAATGCACATCAAAATTACAATGAGATGTTACCTTACACCAGTCAGAATAGCTAGAAACAATAGTATCAAAATGACAAGAAATAACAAGTGTTGATGAGGATGAAGAGAAAAAGGAACCCTTGTGCATTGTTGATAGGAATGCAAATTAGTGCAGCCATTGTGGAAAACAATATGGAAGTGCCTCAAAAATTTAAAAATAGAATTGCCATATGATCCAGTAATTCCACTACTGGGTATCTTCTCAAAGAAAATAAAAACATTAATTTGAAAAGACATATGCACCCCTGTTTACTGCAGCATTATTTACAACAACTAAAGATATGGAAGCAACCCAACTGTCCATTAATGGATTAATGGATAAAGATACGATGGCCAAATTACTTGGCCATAATTTACTCGGCCGTATTACTTGGCCACAATAAAGAATGAGATCTTGCCATTTGCAACCACATGGACAGACCTACAGGGTGTAACGCTAAGTAAAATAAATCAGACAGAGGAAGACAAATACCATGTGATTTCACTAATATGTGGAATCTAAAAAACAAATGAATAAACAAAAACAAACAACAGGTACCTGACTGGCTCAGTCTATACAGTGTGTGACTCCTGATCTCGGAGTCATGAATTTGAGCCCCATGCTGGGCATAGGCCTTACTTAAAAAAACAAAAACAGTGTGTGGGGGGTTGGGGAGCCTGGTGATGGGTATTACGGAGGGCATGTATTGCATCGAGCACTGGGTGTGGTACATAACAATGAAATCTGGATCACTGAAAAGAAATTAAAAATAAATAAAATTTAAAAATTAAAAAAAATACAGAGAACAAACTGGTTGCCTGAAGGGAAGAGGGGAGGATGGGCAAAATATATAAAGGGAATTAAGAGGTACAAACTTCCAGTTTGTACTTATGAAATAAGTGATGGAGATGAAAAGTACAGCATAGGGAAATATAGTCCGTGATACTGTAATGTTGTATGGTGACAGATGGTAACTATACTTAATGTGGTGAGCACTGGGTAATACATAGAATTGAGGAATCAATATGTTGTATACCTACAAAAAAAAGTTATACACCTGAAATGTAACACCGTATATTAATTACACTTCAATAAAAAAAAAAAAAATGGAAGGCTACCAAGCCTATAAATATTTATTATAGCATAACATATAATATTAGAAAATTCTTTATAAAATAATGTCTCTAGTGACATACATATAAATTATGTGATTATAATTTAGGATACTAATGTTATCCTCAGAAAACACATCATGTGAGTAGCATTTATATGACTTAATGCTTCAGAATTTCAGAGATTGGGGCGCCTGGTGGCTCAGTGGGTTGAGCCTCTTGCCTTCGATTTGGGTCATGATCTCAGGGTCCTGAAATCGAGCCCCGCATCGGGCTTTCTGCTCTGTGGGGAGCCTGCTTCCCTTCCTCTCTCTCTCTGCCTGCCTATCTGCCTACTTGTGATCTCTGTCAAATAAATAAATAAAATCTTAAAAAAAAAAGAATTTCAGAGATTATCTTAAGAATGAAAAGACAGTAATCTTGTTTAATAATGCACACAGTTAGAATCAAAATGAAACTAGGTGCTTAAAATTGAAATCTTACCTGTTCGCTTATTTCTGTCCACATAACAATACTTTAACTCATAGTCTTGTAATAAATCATGAACTTCCTGAAAGAGACAAAACATGAATTCAAATAAACACACAAGTGCAGTTAGTGGGGGGCAACTGGGTGGCTCAGTCATTAAGTGTCTGCCTTCGGCTCAGGTCATGATCCTGGGGTCCTGGGATCGAGCCCCGCATCGGGCTCCCTGCTCAGCGGGAAGCCTGCCTTCCCTCTACCACTCCTGCTTGTGTTCCCTTTCTCACTCTGTCAAATAAATTAATAAAATCTTTAAACAAAACAAAACAAAAACAAATGCAGTTAGTGGATAATCCAACTGTACTAGCCAACCACTACCACCACCATCTGCCATGTGAAGAACCTTTCATGGATCTCCATTATTTAACTTAAACGCATTCCATGCCCAGTAAGTATGACATCAACCTACCTCCCCAAGCATATCTCCCAGTACAGAACCTGCACATAGATCATGTTTCTGTTCAATGGGCATTCACTATTCCACCAGGATGTCATGCTCAGTCCTCACTCTGAATTGCTACTCATGCTGATACCTTGACCTTGCATGGTGCAAAGATACCACTAAAGCTCCCGATCACCTGAAATCGCATGCATCCTTTGAAATCCTGCTCAAATATTCTTTCATGAAGTTTTCTTCCAATTTTATTTATTTATTTACTTACTTGCTTATTTATTATGATTAAGAGAGAGAGTGTGCAAGCAGTTGTGGGGGGTAGGGAGGAGGTCCAGCAGAGAGAAAGGGAGACAGGGAATCCCAAGCAGTCTCCACGCTCAGCATGGAACCCAATGTGGGGCTCAATCTTATGACACTGAGATCATGACCGGAGCTGAAATCAAGAGTCGGATGCTTAACCAACTGAGCCACCCAGGTGCCCCAGGTTTATTCTGATTCTTTTCTGTGGGATACGACCTCTACCACCTCCATGCTAACAATGGTCATATTTTATTTATGCCTGTCTGACAGAAATATTAAACATTTCTCTTTGTATACGACACATAACTGAGTTTTTAACAAGTAATACACTTGTAGATGCTGTAGTATCAGCGAAGAGAATAGATACAGGTAGACGCAAACCTAGAGATCCCTGGATATGAAAACAATAACCACCACCAAGGTATGTATGTAGTTCAATTTAGTCCCGCTTGGCTCCCTAAGGTGTTGACACTGGCTTTCCTATTCATTCTGTTTCCATTATTAATCCAGTCTGAACTTGTTTATGCTGGTATCAATTTCACCCACCTGGGGTCTCAAAAAAGCAGATTTCTATTCCTAATCCTTCCTGTTAAACTGACACTCGAGCACAGGAACTATATTTCATATATGTGTATATACCTTGTATTGCTTAGCAAATACTAGGCACTCAAATATACACTAAAGTGAATACAATTATTTTGTCACTGAATTGATATGTGGGCTTAGACAATTTACTCATAATACACACAGATGGAATTACTATTTTCTAAAGGAATTGGACTATCACATAGGTGGACATTCTGATCCTTGATTGGAAAGTTATAGCCGATCTGTTTTATCTTGCATATGAATAAATTAAACATATACAAGTGCCAATACGCTAAGTTCACAACAGAAACTAACTCAATAATAATTCTTATTCTTGCCATTAACATAGTTAACTTTCATTTCTCTTTTACTAAGTACCAGAGCACTGAACTCACTGTTTTCCTTTAAAAATCAGGAAACCAGGTATCCTACAGAAAGGTGCATGCTCTTGACTCTTGGGGTCATGAGTTCAAGCCCCTTGTTGGGTAGAGAGATTACTTAAATAAGTAATTTCAAAAAGGGTGGGGGCACCTGGGTGGCTCAGTTAAGAGCATGTGACTCTTGCTCTCTGCGTTGTAAGTTCGAGCCTCACGTTGGATGTAGAAATTACTTAAAAATAAAATCTTTCTTTTTTTTAAAGATTTTATGTGTCAGAAAGAGAGAGAGCACAAGCAGGGGGAGCTGCAGGCAGGGGGAGAAGCAGCCTCCCTGCTGAGCAAGGAGCCCAATGCAGGACTTGATCCTAGGACTCTGGGATCATGACCTTAGCCGAAGGCAGATGTTTAACCAACTGAGCCACCCACGTGTTCCTTAAAAATAAAATCTTTAAAAAAAAAAAAACAAAACACCTTTATAGAAAAATAAATAAAGAAAAATCAAGAAACCTCAGCAGAGCAAAATCAAATAACTCGCTGAGGGGAGATTCACCAGTCTGGCACCTTTAACTCATACATCATACTACTGGATTCCTTCCAGAGCTAACTAAAAAGAGTATACTACCACCAATAGTTAACAAAAACAGTATTATTAGTGCCCTAATAAGTGATCACATGGAAATGGAAAAAAAACTAGCGGACAGTTCCAAGTTGAGACAATATTTTCCCTTTTAACACAATGCAAGGGGAAAAAGAATGATATAATAGACAAAGTATAAAAACATAACGCTGGGTGGAAAAAAGATAATCGCCTATGATAAGAAATTAGAGAAAGGTGAAGTTGGTAATTTAGTATTCTCTATTAGTAAATCAATATTAGGTGTGTTTTAAAAAATATATATACTACAGATTTCATATAATACGGTTTGATGAATTATACAGTAGTGTGATCAAAATACAGATTAGTTTACATCTTACTATGGTAGTTTTTGTAAGCTTCAGTGTTTCCTTGGACTTAACGCATACAGTGTATTCATTAAGAAGATCTAATTCTCTCAATAGCATAGCATATACGTCTTGCCAATCGACTAATTTAATCCTTAATATAGAAGGTGGCTCAGTTTTGTTTGAAAGGATCCAGTGTATGCTTTTAGTTGCACAGACTCTAATCTCTCATTTCACTGTTTAACAGCTGTCGAATGCCCGAGAAAGAAAACATGACACTGCTGCTCACATTATCAAGTATCTTTAAACAAATGACGTTATGTTACTCGTTCAGCTGAGAGAATTACCTGAGAGAGAGCTTACGTATTCAAAGATACATTTTGCAACTTAAAAATTTTATTTTTAAAATACCTCTCTTTCAGATTATAGCTTTTCTATGCACCAGATGTGGGATATAGAGTTTGCCAACTGGGAAACCTTACAAAGCTTTTTTGCAAAGAAACAACAATTATTATTTTCCCCCCATGTCCTGGTTGATTTGACCCAGGCAAAAGTGGGTCACCCCTCAATTTGAGCCTTGTAAGTTGGCCAAATTAAAAACTTAAAACCTGAAAAAGAGTCCTAACAACCATTTGCCAAAATTCTACTACGCTCCACCACACAGAACCCAAACAAAATTCTCTCTATTCTACTCTAACTTTATGACATTTCTATTAACGTACAAGTTAATTTTAAGGAATAAAGTAGCACCTTCTGGCCAGGAATATCAGTTACAAATTTCTCACAGTAAGATGAGTTCATCAAAACTAGTATTAGAGAGCTTTGGCAACCTATTTCCAGACCACATTCCTTATTACTTCCTGGAATTAAACAAAAAGTTTTGCACACACAAAATATCTCCTTGGGAAAGAACTGACAACCACAATGAAACCCAGTCTTAGTTTTAAGCTTTAATCACACTGTCTTCTAAGTCCTTTTCCAACTTACTTTGATTTATTTCTTTTTCCTAAGAAAGGCTTTCACAGATTAAAGCACTCTAATTTCAAAGTCCCCTCTTTTGGGGAAAAAACAAACAAACAAACAAACCACTTTTGCTACTTGTCCTTGCAATTTTTTAATGATTTTATAATATGAAAATATTGCCTGTAACATATTAAGTTATGAGGCATAATAATGAAATAAGCACCTGGGAACCCATCACCAAACCCATCAGTCTTCCAGTGAAGACTGGAACATTAGCAACACTGTTCCATTGACTTCTGCATTCCTTTGCTAGCCCATCCTGCCACCTTCCCCCATGGCTGGAGTTCCTAACGTAGGTATGTATTCCTAAACAATTTGTTGATTCATTTCACTTGTTTCTGAGCTTTAGAGAAATGCTATTATGCTATTTTTAATCTTCTGTGCCATTTATTTATTTATTTAGGTGCCTTGCTTTTTTAATACTATGCTCCAAAAATTCACTTGTGTTCTACCTGGCCATTTATTCACTATGGTTTGATATTCTGTTCTATGCCTACAGTACGATTTATGGATCCATTTTTCTTCTCTACCAGTGAATATTTGGTTTGTTTCTAGGTTGCTTTGTTACCTCCATATTTTAAAACTACTAACACATTCTTAAAATGTTTATGTATTTCCTGGTGCTCATGTGCAAGTTTCTGAAGGAATGAAATTTTTGGGCTGCACACATACAGATGATCATCCTTGTAACAGAGTGTCAACTTATGTGCTGGAATGGTTGTAGCATCTTACGTCCCCATCAAGAGTATACGAGAGTCCTGCTGATACATAACCGTAAAATGCTTGGTGTTAGCAGTTACCTAAGTTTTGTCAATTTAATTGATATAAAACTGTACCGCACTGTGATCTTAATTTGCATTCCCTTGATTAGTAAAGGTAGAAGATTCTGATGGTTAGTTTTAAACGAGGTTTCCAGAAGAAGAAATCCTGCCTCAAGATGGTAGCACCAACATATGCCTGACTCTCTAGCCTACTGGTATACCTGACAGATTCTGCCTTACCAGTTCCCACAATTAGTCAATAGCTCTATGTATATCTGTATATAATATAAATAGATGTTAATATAAATATTACATATAAGCTCTTTCTTTGAAGAACTCTGATATAGGCATCTTTTCATGTTTATTTGCCATTTATTTCCCTTTCTGGAAAACACTCATCTTGATGGCCATTTTCCTATTGTATTTATCTTTTCTTTTATTGATTTATAGGAGTTTTTCAAAATATATTCTGCATGCTAATTCTTTGTTGGAAACTGTATTATAAATGTATTCCCCTACATTTTATTTGTGAGTTTTTTCTGGTGAAGAGAAATTTGTCATAGAAGCCAAATTTGTAATTCTTCCCTTTACCATTTGCATTTTGTGTGCCTTAAGAAATCTTTTCCTACTCCAGCCATGAAGA